AGTTGATACAGGATGTTGTAGGTTTAAGGTTCTAAGTTGATACAGGTTGTTGTAGGTTTAAGGTACTAAGCTGATGTAGGTTTTAGGTACTAAGTTGATACAGGTTGTTGTAGATTTAAGGCACTAAGTTGATACAGGTTGTTGTAGGTTTAAGGTACTAAGTTGATACAGGATGTTGTAGGTTTAAAACACTAAGATAATGTAGGTTGTTGTTGTCTTAAGATACGTGAAAATTCGATTTGTTTTGCTGGAATTGAATGCTCCCTCGATACTTCGAATATAAAAAAGTAAATGGACTGACACTTGTATTCATTTTTATGATTTTCGATTTGTTAAAAAATTAAGTTTAATGCTACCTAGAAGACGAACACGATAAAAACATTTCCTTTTTGGTCTTTAATGATACAAAATGAGACAAGTTCAAGATGAGCGAATTCCAGTAAGTATTTACTTTGTTGATCGATAAAAATTAGACAAAAAAAGCAAACTTTATGTAGTCACGTACAAGGAGTTGGGGCCACATACAAGACCTACTGGCCACATACAAGAGCCAGGCCACATAGAAGAGCCAAGACGACATACAAGACGACATATCTCTGGACATCCTGGCTCAGTGTCTCTGGACATCCTTGCCTAGCTCAGTGTCTCTGGACATCCTTGCCTAGCTCAGTGTCTCTGGACATCCTTGCCTAGCTCAGTGTCTCTGGACATCCTTGCCTAGCTCAGTGTCTCTGGACATCCTTGCTTTACTTTGTGACCTGAGCCACACCATAAGATATTTAACGCTAGACTCTATAAGCAGCTTCCACCGTTTTCCTGTATACATTATGAATGGTCCCCCTGCAGACTATAAAGTTGACGTATGACGAGTTACGCTTTTTGATCATCATTAATTCTCAGGGTTTATCAACTTTTTGTACTGAGTTAGACGCAGTAATGAGTTTTTCATTAATTTTTTTTTAAATTTTGTAATTTGAAAAAAAAAGCTAGATAATAGGTATTGATGATAATGTAGTATTTATGCTATAATCTCCAACCCAGTTTTAACTCGTCAATAATTAATGGATTTAATTGGACGATGCCAATGGTGATGGAGATTGTTGTGGATAATTAGTTGCCGATGATCACGTGCTAATAACTTAATGACCACGTGATGACCCGGTTCATTATAAACGAAGGACAAAACACAACAGACAAAATTTTAAAACTTGCGTCGTGTGAATTAACAAGCTGCGTCGTTATTTTAAAACCCGCGTCGTGTGAATTAACTAGCGCGACGTTATTTTAAAGCCTGCGTCGTGTGACGACACTTTAATTTAAAAACATTAATGCTCGGCCATCTGCATTTATGGCCAGTGTCCATTGGTCAACATTTAACCCGTGTCCATTGGTCAACATTTAACCTGTGTCCATTGGTCAACATTTGTCTTGTGTTCATTGGTCAACATTTAACCCGTGTCCATTGGTCAACATTTAACCTGTGTCCATTGGTCAACATTTAACCCGTGTCCATTGGTCAACATTTAACCTGTGTCCATTGGTCAACATTTAACCCGTGTCCATTGGTCAACATTTCACCTGTGTCCATTGGTCAACATTTAACCTGTGTCCATTGGTCAACATTTGTCTTGTGTTCATTGGTCAACATTTAACCCGTGTCCATTGGTCAACATTTAACCCGTGTCCATTGGTCAACATTTAACCCGTAACCATTGGTCAACATTTAACCCGTGTCCATTGGTCAACATTTAACCCGTGTCCATTGGTCAACATTTAACCTGTGTCCATTGGTCAACATTTAACCTGTGTCCATTGGTCAACATTTAACCTGTATCCATTGGTTAACATTTAACCCGTGTCCATTGGTCAACATTTGTCTTGTGTCCATTGGTCAACATTTAACCCGTGTCCATTGGTCAACATTTGACCCGTGTCCATTGGTCAACATTTAACCCGTGTCCATTTGTCAACATTTAACCCGTGTCCATTGGTCAACATTTAACCCGTGTCCATTGGTCAACATTTAACCCGTGTCCATTGGTCAACATTTAACCCATGTCCATTGGTCAACATTTAACCCGTGTCCATTGGTCAACATTTAACCTGTGTCCATTGGTCAACATTTAACCTGTGTCCATTGGTCAACATTTAACCTGTGTCCATTGGTCAACATTTGACCTGTATCCATTGGTCAACATTTAACCCGTGTCCATTGGTCAACATTTCACCTGTGTCCATTGGTCAACATTTAACCTGTGTCCATTGGTCAACATTTAACCCGTGTCCATTGGTCAACATTTCACCTGTGTCCATTGGTCAACATTTAACCTGTATCCATTGGTCAACATTTAACCCGTGTCCATTGGTCAACATTTGTCTTGTGTCCATTGGTCAACATCTAACCTGTGTCCATTGGTCAACATTTAACCCGTGTCCATTGGTCAACATTTAACCCGTGTCCATTGGTCAACATTTAACCCGTGTCCATTGGTCAACATTTCAACTGTGTCCATTTGGTTAACATTTAACCCGTGTCCATTGGTCAACATTTAACCCGTGTCTATTGGTCAACATTTCACCTGTGTCCATTGGTTAACATTTAACCTGTGTCCATTGGTCAAAATTTGACCCGTGTCCATTGGTCAACATTTAACCTGTGTCCATTGGTCAACATTTAACCCGTGTCCATTGGTCAACATTTAACCCGTGTCCATTGGTCAACATTTTTCTTGTGTCCATTGGTCAACATTTAACCCGTGTCCATTTGTCAACATTTAACCCGTGTCCATTGGTCAACATTTTTCTTGTGTCCACTGGTCAACATTTGTCTTGTGTCCATTGGTCAACATTTGACCCGTGTCCATTGGTCAACATTTAACCCGTGTCCATTGGTCAACATTTGACCCGTGTCCATTGGTCAACATTTAACCCGTGTCCATTGGTCAACATTTAACCCGTGTCCATTAGGTCAACATTTAACCCGTGTCCATTGGTCAACATTTGACCCGTGTCCATTGGTCAACATTTGTCTTGTGTCCATTGGTCAACATTTAACCCGTGTCCATTGGTCAACATTTAACCCGTGTCCATTGGTCAACATTTAACCCGTGTCCATTGGTCAACACTTGACCCGTATCCTATCCTGACAGATCAGCTTTGTTCACCGTATCCTGTACCTAACCAACCATATTGATTGAGTTTCACTCGTCCATTTCCCTATATTGTAAGGACTTGTGGATTTCTTTCAACCTGAATTCGTCAATCAAATCTTCAAACATGTTTAATGTACGCTTCAAACAGAGGTGTTTATCTGCTTTGAATGTAAATATCGATTTTTAAATAGTTTGACAACTTTTATTATTGGACAAGGTCACTGGTTGCAGTTGTACGTTGTATATATATATATATATATATATATATATATATATATATATATATATATATATATATATATATATATATATATATATATATATCACTTGTATTATACGGATATCATGCTTTAGGGGGTGGGGTAGGGGCGGCGGCGTTTTTTTGTTCTCTAATGTTACCTTTTGAACGAAATTTAAAGTGTTATTTATTTAGATCTATGTCGTCCACTAAAGGATTTGTATTATAGAATTCCCAAGTCCAAATTAGATTGGGGGGGGGGGGGGGTGTAGGGCGATTTGGGAAGAAGGGTCTCTCAATTCGTAGGTCCAAAAAAATAAAAACACGTCTACACTTTTAGCTTATACAACGTTAAATCTACACAGTGACACATCATAGGTAACACGTCAGGACATTGCACAGAGCGTTTGTTTTTGTGTACAGTACAATTACTTTGAAGTAGAAACAAACTTCTTTATTATGATGGTGAAATTTATATTTATTTTTAAAAGACAAAAACCAAATCAACAAATTAATTCAAGGTCGTTTCAGTTCGTCGGATTTTAGCACTAAAATCAATCACACGATCGTGTAATATCGATACCTGTAATTAGTACTCAGCAAATGTTTGTACAACTGCATCGATCTGTAAGATGCCATACAAACCATCATTAAGGTACTTGCTGTCTTTAAAATCTTTCCCCAGTCTACGAAGATGATTACTTTTGTCATTAGTAATTCTTTAAGTAGTCGTCTATTCTAATTACGGTAATTTCGTTCACATGCAGTAGCAGCTAATTGCCTTTTATTTTGTCCACTTTTATTTGTTATTGCCTTTAACAAGTAATTTACAGCTTTAGTTAACCTTGCCAAGTTCGTTTTAGTATTACAGTTTTCATTATTGGATTTTAAGGACTGTTACAGATTTACAATAGTAATACTTCTTTCTGGTATGTCTTTTCACACAATGAAGGTGGTTTACTTATGCATAACACAAAACGTCTAATTACAATTTTATTTTCAAACCTGAAAATGTAACACAAATAAAAATACTTAAGTTTTTAACATAACATTGCGCCAAATTATATTCCGATTAGTTGCTTTAAGTTAAGACGGTTTTTACGAAAAAAAAAAACAACCCGTTTTTAATGATAAATATCAGAGGCGTAGCGACCCTTCCCGGCGCCCGGGGACATACTTTCAATTTGGCGCCCCCCTCGGGAGCAAATTTTCGATTTGCACCCCCCCCTCGAACTTTTCATTTGCACCCCCCCTCAAACTTTCGATTTGCACCCCCCCCCCCTCGAACTTTTCATTTGCACCCCCCCCCCCTCAAACTTTCAATTTGGCGCCCCCCCTAAGGTCGGCGCCCGGGGACATATGTCGTCCCCCCCGCCCCCCCTCGCTACGCCTCTGATAAATATTATAAGTTTTAAATACTACATGTTCTTGTAGTATCCGTGATGAATGTTATATGATGATGATTTTTAAGTGAATAAATTGTATTTGCTATATGTTGTTATTGTGTTTTAACAGTGACTAGAATGAAATTTGTGATTGCTCTTGCATGTTGGTGGTACATCATACTTGTGTACCCCGTCACCTACTTGACTTGATGTTTTTGTCTCCAGCGGCCTTGTGATTGGTTACAACCTCCCCACCTGCTCTAAGGACAAAGGTCAAAGGCTAAACCTCACGCGCGAACACGTGGTGAGTTGAAACTGTTGCGGTCGTCGTCGTTTTTGTTGTTGTATAACTCTTGCTGTCGTTGATGCTTTAATGTAATGTACCTTAGGCGTTTTTATACGTTTACCTAAAACCTACAAGCATATAAATCTGTTGTGTCAGATATATTGATTGTTAATTCTTCTGTGATGGTTCCATACTTGCCGGTCTATCGTGGGCTACTTCACGTCTTTTTGATGCCGGTATTTTTGTGAACAATGACCTATGGTACCGTGACTCGTGTTTTGTTACATGATTCTATCGAGAGGGATTATATTGTGCGAAGGAAGGGTAGTGGGGTGGTGTAGAGACTTTAAGATTTAGTCATGGTCACGTAATACCGGCATGTGTGTGCATTTGTCCATGTTAGGGCGCCACCCCAAATATTTAAGTCCATGTTAGGGCGCCACCCCAAACATTTAAGTCCATGTTAGGGCGCCACCCCAAATGTTTAGTCCATGTTAGGGCGCCACCCCAAACATTTAAGTCCATGTTAGGGCGCCACCCCAAATATTTAAGTCCATGTTAGGGCGCCACCCCAAATATTTAAGTCCATGTTAGGGCGCCACCCCAAACATTTAAGTTTATTTTAGGGCGCCACCCCAAATATTTAAGTCCATGTAAGGGCGCCACCCCAAACATTTAAATCCATGTTAGGGCGCCACCCCAAATATTTAAGTCCATGTTAGGGCGCCACCCCAAACATTTAAGTTTATTTTAGGGCGCCACCCCAAATATTTAAGTCCATGTTAGGGCGCCACCCCAAATATTTAAGTCCATGTTAGGGCGCCACACCAAATATTTAAGTCCTTAATTTTTTTGCCCAAGTTAAATGTCTGGCCTTACGTTGATGGAACCAATATTGAGTTCAATATCGATCTGACTTATTGATTGATTCCATCCAGGTGGGGATCTACAACGGTACCTTTACGACCTGGTCTCACCCTTCTCTTCAGGTAAGCTCCCCTTGTTGTTTATCCTAGTGTTTGTTTTGTATGCAGCTATTTTAGTTTTAATTCGGGCACATTTTTACAGATACTTTTTATACAGATGTTTTTTTTTATTTGTTATTTAACTTTTTTAGGCAGATATTTTATTTTTATGCAGGTATTATAGATTTATATTTTTTTGAAGATATTTTCTTTTTAATGCGGATATTTTTTTTGTAGATATTTTAATTTTTATGCAGATTTAAAAACGAAATTCTGAAGATATTTTACTTTTTGTATTCAAATATTTTACTTTTTTTAAGCAGATATTTTATTGTTTTAGGCAGATATTTTACTTTTTTATGCAGGGACTTTACTTTTGATGAAGATATTTTAATTTTGTATGCAGGTATTTTAGGTTTTTATATACAGGGGATTTATTTGTTATCTGCGTATGATGGAGAACTTGTATGAAGATACTGTAAACTCATTAAACTCTTACCCTTAAGTTTACGTACTTTTGAACCTGCTTGTATCACGGTACCCACACCATCAGAAAGTGAACCCCAACTGCAGTCTGCCCAACGCCACCATCGCCGTCATCGCCAGACAGGAGACTTCTGGCTCCACTAAGGTCTTCACTTCTGCCCTCTCTGCCTTTGACGACAAGTGGGCACACACTAAGGGCATTTTCTCGGAGGGATTCCTCGCTGGAACGGACACGCAGGTCAAGTGGGGCGAAGGTAAGTTCAAGGACAGTGCCGGTCTATACTTTATGTGTGCCGGTCTATATTTTATGTGTGTTGGTCTAAACTTTGTGTGTGCCGGTCTATACTTTATGTGTGCCGGTCTATATTTTATGTGTGCCGGTCTATGCTTTATGTGTGCCGGTCTATGCTTTATGTGTGCCGGTCTATACTTTATATGCCGGTCTATATTTTATGTGTGTCGGTCTATGCTTTATGTGTGCCGGTCTATGCTTTATGTGTGCCGGTCTATACTTTATATGCCGGTCTATATTTTATGTGTGTCGGTCTATGCTTTATGTGTGCCGGTCTATGTTTTATGTTTGCCGGTCTATACTTTATATGCCGGTCTATATTTTATGTGTGCCGGTCTATACTTTATGTGTGCCGGTCTATACTTTATGTGTGCCGGTCTATACTTTATGTGTGCCGGTCTATACTTTATGTGTGCCGGTCTATACTTTATGTGTGCCGGTCTATAGTAGTCTATACTTTATGTGTGCCGGTCTATACTTTATGTGTGCCGGTCTAAACTTTATGTGTTCCGGTCTATACTTTATGTGTGCCGGTCTATACTTTATTATGTGTGCCGGTCTATAGTAGTCTATACTTTATGTGTGCCGGTCTAAACTTTATGTGTGCCGGTCTATACTTTATGTTTGCCGGTCTATACTTTATGTGTTCCGGTCTATACTTGATGTGTGCCGGTCTATACTTTATTATGTGTGCCGGTCTATAGTAGTCTATACTTTATGTGTGCCGGTCTAAACTTTGCGTGTGCCGGTCTATACTATATGTGTGCCGGTCTATACTTATGTGTGCCGGATTATACTTTATATGTGCCGGATTATACTTTATATGTGCCGGCCTATACTATGTTAGTTTTCTATGCGCATCAACTACTTCTGCTTGAATGTTATGGTGGTGCCAGACAAACTACCCGACACAATTTATTTGTTATTGTCTCCGTCTATTTAAGGCATTCTATTGTGTACCGGGTTTCTCGTTTCTTCATTAACATGTGCAACAGGTAATTTAGGGAAAGGGTTAATCAACCGGTGTATGGAATTAGACGGGTAATTGACAAGGAGGTGCGTAATTGATCTGCGGATAATGGCGGGCGCGTATTGACCAGGGGAGGGGATGGGGGGGGGGGGGTAATTGTTAATGACCTAGACCCACGCCATTCAGCCGTGACATCGGTGCACCAGTTTCGCTCATCCATCTGTCAGTCATTCTGTCACCCCATACATAGGTGAAAATGTAAAGGCATTTTATTTCTGCTACTACCAGTATTCAAATATATTACTACTAAAACCGTTTAAAAAAATATTTGCTGATTGCTTAGTTCTACATTTGTTTCAGTAATAATTTAATAAGGTTACACAGGCATGACCATAACCAAATCAAGACATTTAAAGACCGCAATGTCAGATATGTGGATGGCATGGTCTATTAATAGAGCGCTGGACCTCTAACCCGAAAGTCTCGAGTTTGAATCCGGGTTCAAGTCAGTAGACCGTCCCTGAGTCCACCCAGCTCTGATGGGTACCTAACTCAAATTAGGGAAACAAAGACGGCTGGGTTTAGTGCTGACCATACTATCCTTTCATATAGTGAGGTCACTGAAACATGTGAACTCTACTACACTTACCACATGGTTCGAAAAGGCAGCTTTACTTATGTCTATGTGCCAGCCGTTCGTCATTAGTGTTGAAAGGACTGATGGAGCGTGGCCTTGTCTATTTAATGAGCGTGACCGACGCCATCAAAATAAATGTGAACTAAAAATAGCAACCTAAAAGAAAAACACATCACCAATGGCAATGGTATAGTCCTGAGACTATTTACAATGTTAGCAGTTGTATTCAGAGGAATAAAACGGGAGTGATCTCCTCTAAAGTTTCTCGTATATATATATATATATATATATATATATATATATATATATATATATATATATATATATATATATATATATTATATATGTGTATATATATGTATATGTATATGTATATATATATACGTATACATATATATATATATATATATATATGTATATATATATATATATATATATATATATATATATATATATATATATATATATATATATATATATATATATATATATATATGTATACACACATAATGTTACCCATGTCAGGTGTCATCCGGTACTTCGGGAAAACGAACCGTGACGTAGCCGGCTTAATCCGGTCCATCCGGTACACTGCCGGCTACCTGTCGTACGGTGACGCCATGTCTGAAGTCGTGGACTACGCGGCCATAGGAAATCGTAACGGTCAGCTCCTGGTGCCAGACCAGATGACCATACAGGTGAGACAGGTGTTTTACCTGAGGTAGTTAGTTGACCATACAGGTGAGACAGGTGTTTTACATGAGGTAGTTAGTTGACTATACAGGTGAGACAGGTGTTTTACATGAGGTAGTTAGTTGACTATACAGGTGAGACAGGTGTTTTACATGAGGTAGTTAGTTGACCATACAGGTGAGACAGGTGTTTTACCTGAAGTAGTTAGTTGACTATACAGGTGAGACAGGTGTTTTACCTGAGGTAGTTAGTTGACCATACAGGTGAGACAGGTGTTTTACATGAGGTAGTTAGTTGACTATACAGGTGAGACAGGTGTTTTACATGAGGTAGTTAGTTGACTATACAGGTGAGACAGGTGTTTTACATGAGGTAGTTAGTTGACCATACAGGTGAGACAGGTGTTTTACCTGAAGTAGTTAGTTGACTATACAGGTGAGACAGGTGTTTTACCTGAGGTAGTTAGTTGACCATACAGGTGAGACAGGTGTTTTACATGAGGTAGTTAGTTGACTATACAGGTGAGACAGGTGTTTTACATGAGGTAGTTAGTTGACTATACAGGTGAGACAGGTGTTTTACATGAGGTAGTTAGTTGACTATATAGGTGAGACAGGTGTTTTACCTAAGGTAGTTAGTTGACTATACAGGTGAGACAGGTGTTTTACATGAGGTAGTTAGTTGACTATACAGGTGAGACAGGTGTTTTACCTGAGGTAGTTAGTTGACTATACAGGTGAGACAGGTGTTTTACATGAGGTAGTTAGTTGACTATACAGGTGAGACAGGTGTTTTACCTGAGGTAGTTAGTTGACTATACAGGTGAGACAGGTGTTTTACATGAGGTAGTTAGTTGACTATACAGGTGAGACAGGTGTTTTACGTGAGGTAGTTAGTTGACTATACAGGTGAGACAGGTGTTTTACATGAGGTAGTTAGTTGACCATACAGGTGAGACAGGTGTTTTACCTGAGGTAGTTAGTTGACTATACAGGTGAGACAGGTGTTTTACATGAGGTAGTTAGTTGACTATACAGGTGAGACAGGTGTTTTACCTGAGGTAGTTAGTTGACTATACAGGTGAGACAGGTGTTTTACCTGAGGTAGTTAGTTGACCATACAGGTGAGACAGGTGTTTTACATGAGGTAGTTAGTTGACCATACAGGTGAGACAGGTGTTTTACATGAGGTAGTTAGTTGACCATACAGACGAGACAGGTGTTTTACCTGAGGTAGTTAGTTGACTATACAGGTGAGACAGGTGTTTTACCTGAAGTAGTTAGTTGACCATACAGGTGAGACAGGTGTTTTACATGAGGTAGTTAGTTGACCATACAGGTGAGACAGGTGTTTTACATGAGGTAGTTAGTTGACCATACAGGTGAGACAGGTGTTTTACATGAGGTAGTTAGTTGACTATACAGGTGAGACAGGTGTTTTACATGAGGTAGTTTGTTGACCATACAGGTGAGACAGGTGTTTTACATGAGGTAGCTGGTTGTGTTTTACCTTAGGTAGTTAGTTGATTGTATTTTACCTGAGGTAGTTAGTTGATTTAAGTTTACTTGAGGTAGTTAGTTTGTTGTATTTTATTCGTTTATTAAAACTTAGAAGACTCCGGTCACTTTTAAGCGAAAGTTCAAATTTACTTGTTTTGATATTTCTCTCTAACTTAATTTTTTATTTAACACGATACCTTCATTCAACTTCCATTACAGTCGGGGGTTTCTTTCAGACATTAGTCGGGTGGGGGGGGGGCACTAAAATCTTCCTGGGGAGGGGTTATATATTTTTTTCGGGGGTCATTGGTGCCAACTCCCCCTCCCCCGAGAACGCATCCAGACTGAAACGCTAAGATAACACCTGACCTAGGAACCAAACAAAGTCGTTTTTCTAGCCAATGGTCATGTATTTCAGGAGTCGATGAATGCGAAGGTGAACGATTCGTCCTTAACCCCTGACCTTGTGGATGCTGACCTACCCCGAGCCTACCCTATTGTGACATATTCTTACATAATCTTGTACAGGACTGAGATGAGGAAGTGTGATGTTGCCATGGAGATCCTTAGGTACGTAGTGATAGTGGCTAAACAAGTTTGATGCTTATATGATCGGGGCGTGCACATATTGAAAACAAATATTTTCTCTGATCAAAAAATAATTGTTTTTGTTCTTTTGCAACAAAGTTATTAAGAGTACCAACACGATTTTAATTTTCCTGATGTTTTAATTCACCTGTGTCAAAAAGTACTGAAGTGAACCCCATGACAGCTGTGTGATAAACTCCATTAACAGCTGTTTAAGGTTGTATTCAATGTGATCGCCTGACGTTTTAAACTTGTCAAAATAAACAAGTAAAATAGCAAGATAAATCATGTATTGCCACATTTATCGGCTTTCCGTACTTCCTATATATGACGCCGTTTGAATATCTGGTGGGTCAGCTCATAAAAGATATATCCTATTTTCTGTGGCGCATGTCTTTACATGAAGTAAACCAACTAGCATCATCACCAGACAGGCACTAGATTGGAATTTCCACAGAATGTGGAAAGTATTGAGGCCAAAAAGTCAGCTGTCAGTGAAGCAAAAGCAACCGGAAAGTTGTGGATCTAACTTGGAGGAATCGCCCAGAACCGAGTTCAATGGAGATGTGTGGTTGTGTAGATATGTTCAACAAGTGGTCCACAGCTGTGATAATGATGATGATGATGATGATGATGATGATGGTGGTGAAGATGATGATGATAATAATGATTATGATGACGATGATAATGATGATGATGATAATAATGATGATGATGATGATGATTATAATGATGATGATGATGATGATTATATTGATGATGATGATGATGACGATGATGATGATGATGATGAAGATGAAGATGATGATTAAGATGATGATGATGATGATGATTATAATGATGATGATGAATATGAAGATGAATATGAAGATGATGATGATGATGACGATAATGATGGTGATAATGATGATGATGATTGTGATGATGTCTTTGACCAGGTATTTGACTTGGTGCATGAAAGACGAGGCCCTACAAGAGGCGATGTCCCTTGGGTTTGTTGCTCTCAGCGCCACTATCGCCACTCGTGTGACTGACGAGGTCCTGGAGACGGTGACCTGCAAGGGTGAAAAGGTCATGGACATGGTCCGGGCTGAGATGGCGCAGGACGACGCCGTGGTACAGGTGTGGGTGATACCTGTCGCTATCTCAGGTGAGTTTGATGCAATTAAGTCAGGAACTATCCATTACTCTGTTACATTTTAAAGTGATTGGTCTTCTTTCATACGATAATATCACATTCTTTTATATAGTCCTAACATTAATTCTTTCCCCAATCTTAGTCTTTAACCTACTTTTAACCTTTAATTAACCAGCCTTTAAATAGCCACTAAGCAAACCACTCATCTCCTATTAACTAGCCATTAACCCCACCATTAACTAGCCATTAACCAGCCATTTAATTAGTTATTAACCAGCCATTAACCTTAATTAATAAGCAATAAACCAGCCGTTAACCAGCTATTAACCCGCCAGCTATTAACCCGCCATCCATTCACCAGACCTTATCTAGCTATTAACTAGCAATTAATTAAGGTTTAACCCCACCATTAACCCCCCATTACCCCCCATTAACACACCATTAACCCACCATTAACCCACCATTAACCCGCCATTAACCCACCATTTACCTCCCCCTTATTAACCCAACATTAACCCACCTTTAACCCACCATTAACCCACTATTAACCCACCATTTACCTCCCCCAATTAACCCACCATTTACCCATCATTAACCCCCCCACCCCCAATTAACCCTCCATTAACCCACCATTAATCCCCCCAACCATTAACCCACCATTAACCCCCCCCCCCCCTTCATGAACCCATCATTACCCCCCCCCATTAACCCCCCATTAACCCCCCATTAACCCCCCATTAACCCACCATGAACCCACCATTAACCCTAACCCCCTTCTCCCCCCAGTTCCCCTCTTCCTACTTGTAGTTGGCGCCCTATTCGGCTACATCATGTACCAGCGTCTCAAGCTTAGGTCTATGATCAACATGGACGACTGGAGCATCGCTATAGAGGATATTGTGTTCTTCTATGATGATAAGGTCAGTGTGTGGCCAGTGTGTGGCCAGTGTGTGGTCAGTTAGATGTGTGTATGTGGGGGGGGGGGGAGTGAGTGGGTGATACGACTGGAGCATCGCTATAGAAGATATCGTGTTCTTCTACGATGATAAGGTCAGTTTGTGGTCAGTGTGTGGTCAGTGTGTGGTCAGTTAGATGTGTGTATGTGGGGGGGGGGGAGTGAGTGGGTGATACGACTGGAGCATCGCTATAGAAGATATCGTGTTCTTCTATGATGATAAGGTCAGTTTGTGGTCAGTGTGTGGTCAGTGTGTGGTCAGTTAGATGTGTGTATGTGGGGGGGGGGGGGAGTGAGTGGGTGATACGACTGGAGCATCGCTATAGAAGATATCGTGTTCTTCTACGATGATAAGGTCAGTTTGTGGTCAGTGTGTGGTCAGTGTGTGGTCAGTTAGATGTGTGTATGTGGGGGGGGGGAGTGAGTGGGTGATACGACTGGAGCATCGCTATAGAAGATATCGTGTTCTTCTACGATGATAAGGTCAGTTTGTGGTCAGTGTGTGGTCAGTGTGTGGTCAGTTAGATGTGTGTATGTGGGGGGGGGGAGTGAGTGGGTGATACGACTGGAGCATCGCTATAGAAGATATCGTGTTCTTCTACGATGATAAGGTCAGTTTGTGGTCAGTGTGTGGTCAGTGTGTGGTCAGTTAGATGTGTGTATGTGGGGGGGGGGAGTGAGTGGGTGATACGACTGGAGCATCGCTATAGAAGATATCGTGTTCTTCTACGATGATAAGGTCAGTTTGTGGTCAGTGTGTGGTCAGTGTGTGGTCAGTTAGATGTGTGTATGTGGGGGGGGGGAGTGAGTGGGTGATACGACTGGAGCATCGCTATAGAAGATATCGTGTTCTTCTACGATGATAAGGTCAGTTTGTGGTCAGTGTGTGGTCAGTGTGTGGTCAGTTAGATGTGTGTATGTGGGGGGGGGGGGGGAGTGAGTGGGTGATACGACTGGAGCATCGCTATAGAAGATATCGTGTTCTTCTACGATGATAAGGTCAGTTTGTGGTCAGTGTGTGGTCAGTGTGTGGTCAGTTAGATGTGTGTATGTGGGGGGGGGGGGAGTGAGTGGGTGATACGACTGGAGCATCGCTATAGAAGATATCGTGTTCTTCTACGATGATAAGGTCAGTTTGTGGTCAGTGTGTGGTCAGTGTGTGGTCAGTTAGATGTGTGTATGTGGGGGGGGGGGAGTGAGTGGGTGATACGACTGGAGCATCGCTATAGAAGATATCGTGTTCTTCTACGATGATAAGGTCAGTTTGTGGTCAGTGTGTGGTCAGTGTGTGGTCAGTTAGATGTGTGTATGTGGGGGGGGGGAGTGAGTGGGTGATACGACTGGAGCATCCCTATAGAGGACGTCGTGTTCTTCTATGATGATAGGGTCAGTGTGTGGGCAGTGTGTGGTCAGTGTGTGGTCAGTCAGATGTGTGTATGTGGGGGGGGATGAGACTCAGTTAGATGTGTGTGGGGGGGTGAGGGGGGTGAGGCGACTGGAGCATCCCTATCAGGACATTGTGTTCTTCTACGATGATAGGGTCAGTGTGTGGTCAGTTAGATGTATGTGGGAGGGGGGGTGAGGGGTGGTGAAGGGGGGTGAGTGGGTGAGACGAATGGAGCATCCCTTTATAGGTCATCGTCTTCTTCTATGATGATAAGGTCAGTGTGTGGTCAGTTAGATGTGTGTATGTGGGGAGTGTGTGGAGATGGGGTCGTCTTTTTTTACAAAGGTCGCTGTGTGGTCAGTTAGATGCGTGTACATGGTGTTTGTGTATTTGGGGGGGGGGGGAGGGTGGCGACTGGAGCATCCGTATAGTAGATATCATCAATATAAGATCAATGCGTGGGCAGTAGTTATATTTGTGTATGTGGTGTGTGTATGTGAGGGAGGGTGGTATGTTAAAAGCACGCACACTCTGTCTGAAGTTATCCACATCTGGAACTAAATGTCTTGCCGTGTGAACTGACACGTGTAACACCACCGCTCATTGTCTTAGTTCAACAGTCCCTAGCAGTGGCGTAACCAGGAATTGGTCATGGGAGGAGTTCAAATATTTTTCCATATGCATATAATCATATATATATATATATATATATATATATATATATATATATATATATATATATATATATATATATATATATATATAAGTGTGAGTCCATGGGAATGGTTATAACCCCCCCCCCCCTACCCCCCCCCCCTTGCCTACGCCGCTGGTCCCTAGCGCTGAAATGTATCTGCAGATAGTTTAACTGAATTATCAGTTAACACAGTCCCTAGCGCTATGATATAACTGCAGATAGTTTAACAAAAACTGTCAGTTAACAAAGTATTGCCTGTAGCACAATGAATACGTGATCATTTTAAAAGTTGAAGAGAATTAAATAATTATATAGATGTTTTATAATCGTCGTGTTAACCGTTTACCCATAAAACTGCTCTATCAATTTGGGTTAATCGCCTGCTTGGGATATATCTGTACCACGTGAAGTAGGCTTTAAGTTATTCCAGCCATTATTACATCGATACAGGGGGAAATATTGCACTGCGGAAAGCTATTTATATTTATTAAAATACTATAGCATTGCATCGTTGTCACTAAATTTAATCTTATGTTTGGCATCTATTTTTGCTCTAAGCTGAAAATAATGTTCACAAGTGAAGTGAACTAGTAATGGCAGAGTTAATCTTCGATTTCCGTGTTGTAGGAATCTAATACGTTCATGTTTGACACCTTCTATAGAGTACGAGAAATTAAAGTCTGATGACTTACATCATTTGGTAGCTAAAACTAATCAGTGGCGTAGCGAGGTCGGGTGCCACCCGGTGCGGCACTTAATGGTGTCACCCCCCCCCCCCCCCAGAGGCGGAGCAACCCTTCCCGGGGACAAACTTTCAAATTTTCGATTTGCACCCCCCATCAAGTTTTCGATTTGCACCCCCCCCCCCTTCAAGTTTTTCTCTATACATTTTGCTATTTTTTGCCTTGGTGTCACCCCCCTAAATGGTGTCACCCGGTGCGGTCCGCACCCCCGCCCCCCCCCCCCCTCGCTACGCCCCTGAAAGCAATGAAAATGGCATGTTCCTAGGAGTGGGAGTAGAGGAGTTTAAAGCCCCCCCCCCCTCCCTTCTTACCTGCTCTTGATGCTGACAACTCTATAGTTAAAACATTTAAACATGCCAGATTTTGGTAGAAACTTTGAGTGAAAAACTATTGGTAGGTCGGGACTATTTGAGAGCCACTGTGGTAGGACAAATAATTTTTGTGAAAATGTTTGAGAGCCACTAGGGTAGGACAAATAATTTTTGTGAAAATGTTTGAGAGCCACTAGGGTAGGACAAATAATTTTTGTGAAAATGTTTGAGAACCACTGTGGTAGGACAAATAATTTTTGTGAAAATGTTTGAGAGCCACTAGGGTAGGACAAATAATTTTTGTGAAAATGTTTGAGAACCACTGTGGTAGGACAAATAATTTTTGTGAAAATGTTTGAGAACCACTAGGGTAGGACAAATAATTTTTGTGAAAATGTTTGAGAACCACTGTGGTAGGACAAATAATTTTTGTGAAAATGTTTGAGAACTACTGGGGTAGAACAAATAATTTTTGTGAAAATGTTTGAGAACTACTGGGGTAGAACAAATAATTTTTGTGAAAATGTTTGAGAACCACTGGGGTAGGACAAATACTTTTTGTGAAAATGTTTGAGAACCACTGTGGTAGGACAAATAAGTTTTTGTCCCCAGATGCATCTTGCCTCTGGAAGCGGCAAGTCCAGATTTCTCCGACAGAAGTCTGTGAGGTCCTTGAAATCTGTCGGGGACATTTCTGAAGGTCCGGAGCTGTTGTCGCAGATCTTGCAGTGGCCGGGGAAATGGAAGTCCAACACGATCGGCATTAGGATGTTGGAAGTTGTGGAGCTGAGGTAGGTTGGATCTTAGGGTGTTTGTATTGGTGTCTGTATGGTGTCTATTTGCTGTCTATGTGGTGTCTGTGTGGTGTCTGTGTGGTGTCTGTGTGGTGTCTGTGTGGTGTGTGTGTGTGGTGTCTGTGTGGTGTGTGTGTGGTTTTTGTGTGGTGCCTATGTGGTGTCTGTGGTGTGTGTGGTGTCTATGTGGTGTGTGTGGTGTCTATGTGGTGTCTGTGTGGTTGGTGTGTGTGTGGTGTCTGTGTGGTTGGTGTTTGTATGGTGTCTGTGTGGTGTCTGTGTGGTGTCTATGTGGTGTCTGTGTGGTGTGTGGTGTCTGTGTGGTGTGTGTGTGGTGTGTGTGTGGTGTCTGTGTGGTGTTTGTATGGTGTCTGTGTGGTGTCTGTGTGGTGTCTGTGTGGTGTGTGTGTGTGGTGTCTGTGTGGTGTCTGTGTGGTGTATATGTGGTGTCTGTTTGGTGTGTGTGTGGTGTCTATGTGGTGTATGTGGTGTCCGTGTGGTGTTTGTGTGATGTCTGTGTGGTGTCTGTGTGGTTTCTGTGTGGTGTCTGTGTGGTGTATGTGTGGTGTATGTGTGGTGTCTGTGTGGTGTATGTGGTGTCTGTGTGGTGTCTGTGTGGTGTATGTGTGGTGTCTGTGTGGTGTATGTGTGGTGTCTGTGTGGAGTGTGTGGTGTATGTGTAATGTGTGTGGTGTCTGTGTGGTGTCTGTGTGGTGTCTGTGTGGTGTCTGTGTGGTGTCTGTGTGGTGTGTGTGTGGTGTGTGTGTGATGTATGTGTGATGTGTGTCTGTGTGGTGTCTGTGTGGTGTCTGTGTGGTGTTTGTGTGGTGTCTGTGTGGTGTTTGTGTGGTGTTTGTGTGGTGTGTGTGTGGTGTGTGTGTGTGGTGTCTGTGTTGTGTGTGTGTGGTGTCTGTGTGGTGTGTGTGTGGTGTCTGTGTGATGTGTGTGTGGTGTGTGTGTGTGGTGTCTGTGTGGTGTGTGTGTGGTGTCTGTGTAGTGTCTGTGGTGTGTGTGTGTGGTGTGTGTGGTGTGTGTGGTGTGTGTGGTGTGTGTGGTGTGTGTGTGTGGTGTCTATGTGGTGTCTGTGTGGTGTGTGTGTGGTGTCTGTGTTGTGTCTGTGTGGTGTCTATGTGGTGTCTATGTGGTGTCTGTGTGGTGTGTGGTGTGTCTGTGGTGTCTGTGTGGTGTCTATGTGGTGTCTGTGTGGTGTCTGTGTGGTTGGTGTGTGTGTGGTGTGTGTGTGGCGTCTGTGTGGTGTCTGTGTGGTGTCTGTGTGGTGTCTGTGTGGTGTCTTGTGTGGTGTCTGTAGTGTCTGTGTGGTGTGTGTGTGGTGTCTGTGTGGTGTTCGTGTGTTTAGCAAAGATGTATTTTCTGGTCCTTAAATTGTTTCCCTATTTTTATCACACTGATATCGCTAGACAAGATTTATTATGGTCAACATTAATAGGTTTTTGCTCCAATTATCTTCAGCACCGTGCTATAATTAAGTGCCATGTTTGGTGTTAATCATTGTAATTAGCAACCGTAGATTAATTAATTTATAATGTCTTAATGTAGGATATTTCTTGATTTTCATATTATTACGACTGAACACATTGGACTAGGATTAATCAATAATTTGATGAGATTTTTTTTTAATTAGCTGACATAAAAATTAACCTTTTTTTCTGTAGCCAGTTTACATGTAAGGAGAAATATTTTTATGAAACTAATCCTTATTTTTACGAAGTTAAGTGCGACATTTTACTATGAGTACTAAACGTGACTTTTATTTAAATAGGTCAACGAATTGAGAAGATCCATATCTGTAACAATCGTGTATTTCTATGGTAACTTGTCTCACAATCTTTTCAACCAATCAACATTTAGTTTCCTTACTGAGAGATTCACGTGATACAGGCACGAGATATCGGCGTGAACAAAGAACGATAACTCCGCGTACACGCTGAAATATTAATAGCACGTGACCGGAAAAGACAATTTCCAACCGCCATTTATCTGGGCGTTTACCTGTTCTATATCGTATTGTGGTGTATGACGTCAGTTATTGACCTTGTGGTCAGTCATGGTGTGTACATCCCTCCCCTTTATGGTTAATTTATAATTCTACTGTAAACAAATAACATATATACCGGTATATATATATATATATATATATATATATATATATATATATATATATATATATATATATATATATATATATATACACACATATATATATATACACACACACACACATATATATATATATATATATATATATATATATATATATATATATATATATATATATATATATATATATATATATATATATATATATCGGTATTTATGTATATATGTATATCTATATCTATATCTGTATCTATATATATAATTCTCTTCATGGGGACCATAGAAAACACCACGCAGCTTAGACACCACCCTCATCCCCACCTGTCAAGTGAGCTGTGGTTCACCCCCAATGTTTACAATAGTAGAGCCGGTTCGGTTCGAATAAGTGACGGCTACTAGGGGCAGATGATTTAGTTTTTAAACGATTTGAAACTAAGGGGAGATAACAAGTTCTGCTTGATATTTTCATTGTCGTCTGTGAACGCCTGCTTTCACTGAGCGGGATGGGGTGTGTGGGGGGGGGGGGGAGGGGGGGTTGTGGGGTGTGGTGGTGGTGTCTAATTCACAAATTATGAATTGTTGATAAGTAGAAAATAAAACAACTAGATAGCGGCGTATGCTACTTCGCGGGTCAGCTCGTATGTATATATATATATATATATATATATATATATATATATATATATATATATATATATATATATATATATATATATATATATATATGTGTGTGTTTGTATGTATATATAGATATACATACATATGAATAGTCAATGTGGCATACTTTACTAAAGCAAACGCTGCCCCACACATAAGCCCCAGTTCAAAGACCTTCATCTAACAGAGTTCTTCGATTAAAGCACTCTATCGACAATATGTCCACAGTTTTTTCCTTATCTTTTCTCTCATCAATTTCAAAGACATTTTATGGAAACAATAAATCCAGTGTTAGGTATTGATTTTAACCGTTGTATCCTTGCTACTGTCTGTCTTAAGCTATCGTGTTCAACTGGCTTAGGTCGAGCTTTCATGAGATCAGCGTTTCTTTCAGACTTATTCCTGCGGCGGGGGGAAGGGGGGCGGATAAAATTTTATTTGGATGGGGGGGGGGGGGGAGACTGGTAAAAGAATGTAATTTCTACTTAAATTCTATATCGTAGGGGTGAGGGTAGACTTTGAAGGGGGAGGGGGGTGGAAGAGGGGGGGGGGGGGTCAAAGTCCCCGTCCACCGTCCCCCCGCCACCCCATCAGAGATACCTGAGAGAAAATCTGTCAAGTCCAATCAGCTGATCGGCCTACAAGTTTATCGCGTTTGTTTTTTACCGAAATAAATATCGATTTCGTTGACAGTTTTTTAGGGTCAGCACAAAGCACAATAATTTTCTGAATTTAATTTTTGTTGTTGTCATAGGCGGGTTCTTTTTATTTACACGACTAGACTTTTAAAAATTAAGCGAGCATCTAGTTTTAAAATAATAAACAATAAACCGGGAGTGATCTCCCCTAACCTTTCTCGAATATTCTAATATAAAATTACGAGGGAGGATGGCTACTCAGGACATAGACAATATTTGCTATCGATTTTTAATTACTTAAACTTTTTATAATAGAATAGAATCTCGTAAAAAAAGAATTGCACACAAAGTGAAAAGTTTCCCTTTCAAACCTGACGGTCTATGGGGCAAGTGAAGCAGAGTTCACTTGTTTCTGTGACCTCGGCATATGAAGAGATAGTGTGGTCGGCACTATGCCCAGCCGCCTTTACTTTCCCTAACAGGAGTTAGGTACCCATCAGAGTTGGGTGGACTTAGGGACGGTCTACTGACTTGAACCCGGATTCGAACTCGAGACTAACGGGTTAGCAGTCCAGCTCTCTACCGCTAGACCACTCCAAGTGAACGCCTAATAAAATGTGCATACAAGTGCGGGATATTATTAGTACTTTATAAATTTACATGCGTTTTTTGAGAAATCGGAAATAGCGTAAATTAGTACTTCCGGTCAACGGAAATTACTCAAAATTTGACAGAAGGTAGAAAATAAATTAGATCTTTTACTTACGTGTGAAATTTCATTTATCTACTTGAAATAGTACTCAAGTTATAGGCTTTTGAAAAATTCAAAGTAGAAAAAGTACCACTTCCGGTTATCGGAAATCGCTCAAAAGTTGATCAGGATCTACGATTTTGATAAAATACTTATATATGAAATTTCATCAGCCTAGCTGTAACGGTACTCAAGTTATCGTGTTTACACACAGACAGACAGTCACACAGACACACAGACATACGGACAAGATTGCAAAATTATGTTTTTTCCGTATCAGTGAGGTGTAAAACGTTGAGATTTGTAAAAATCTTGATTTTTTTTTTGCACGATTACAAGACTTTCTCTATACTTCGTATATACGAGAAAGTAAAAAAAAAATAACCCATCCAAATGTAAATTCCTACTCCACTCTCGCCCTTCCCTAAAGTCAGCCACGCATCATTTGGTGCTGGGAATAAACGGTACAACTGTGTAGACCTAAATGTCTGACGGTCCATGGGGGTAGGGAAGTAGAATTCGCCTATATCTGTGACCTCGGCATATGAAATGGTTGGATGGGACCTTCTATTGACTTGAACGCTGAATTAAACTCGAGACTTTCGGACCAGCAGTCTAGCGCTCTACCGCTAGGCCGTCCCATGACGGTCTACAGAACAGGTTTTTAAAAGTTCATCTATTTCGCTAAAATTGGCGTGTGAAGGGATAGTGTGGTCAACACTATGAAGGGATAGTGTGGTCAGCACTATGAAATGATGGTGTGGTCAGTACTATGAACGGATGGTTTGGTTAGTACTATGAACGGATGGTGTGGTCAGTACTGTGAACGGATGGTGTGGTCAGCACTATGAACGGATGGTGTGGTCAGCACTATGAAGGGATAGTGTGGTCAGCACTATGTAGGGATAGTGTGGTCAGCACTATGAAGGGATGGTGTGTTCAGCACTATGAAGGGATGGTGTGGTCAGCACTATGAAGGGATGGTGTGGTCAACTCTATGAAGGGATAGTGTGGTCAGCACTATGAACGGATGGTGTGGTCAGCACTATGAAGGGATGGTGTGGTCAGCACTATGAAGGGATGGTGTGGTCAACTCTATGAAGGAATAGTGTGGTCAGCACTATGAACGGATGGTGTGGTCAGCACTATGAAGGGATGGTGTGGTCAGCACTATGAAGGGATGGTGTGGTCAGCACTATGAAGGGATAGTGTGGTCAGCTCTATGAAGGGATGGTGTGGTCAGCACTATGAAGGGATGGTGTGGTCAGCACTATGAAGGGATAATGTGGTCAGCACTTTCTCTTCCACATTTACATTCCCCGACCTACCCAGCACTTTAGGGTATACCTAAAATGACCTACGAACTAGAATTTCGTTAATCGAACCCAAGGTTTTAGGCATATAACCGTACTCTCTGCTGCTTGACCTTGTTGTCCAAGAATGTTGGTCACCAGGTCAATAACCTTTGTTGGTCACCAGGTCAATAACCTTTGTTGGTCACCAGGTCGATAACCTTTGTTGTGTTGGTCACCAGGTCAATAACCTTTGTTGTGTTGGTCACCAGGTCAATAACCTTTGTTGTGCTGGTCACCAGGTCAATAACCTTTGTTGTGTTGGTCACCAGGTCAATAACCTTTGTGGTGTTGGTCACCGGGTCAATAACCTTTGTTGTGTTGGTCACCAGGTCAATAACCTTTGTTGTGTTGGTCACCAGGTCACTAACCTTTGTTGTGTTGGTCACCAGGTCACTAACCTTTGTTGTGTTGGTCACCAGGTCAATAACCTTTGTTGTGTTGGTCACCAGGTCAATAACCTTTGTTGTGTTGGTCATCAGGTCAATAACCTTTGTTGTGTTGGTCACCAGGTCGATAAACCGTGAGATGAAGAAGACGATGATATGGATGAGAGACTCCATCATCAACACCAACGTCGTCAGGTTCTTCGGTCTGACGGAGTTGGAGGAGGACAGGTACATCGTGGGGGACTTTTGTGCCAAGGGGACCATCTTGGATGTCCTACAGGTAAGGTTGGGTGACTATCTTGGATGTCCTACAGGTAAGGTTGGGTGACTATCTTGGATGTCCTACAGGTAAGGTTGGGGGACTATCTTGGATGTTCTACAGGTAAGGTTGGGGGACCATCTTGGATGTCCTACAGGTAAGGTTGGGTGACTATCTAGGATGTCCTACAGGTAAGGTTGGGTGACTATCTAGGATGTCCTACAGGTAAGGTTGGGTGACTATCTAGGATGTCCTACAGGTAAGGTTGGGGGAATATCTTGGATGTCCTACAGGTAAGGTTGGGTGACTATCTAGGATGTCCTACAGGTAAGGTTGGGGGAATATCTTGGATGTCCTACAGGTAAGGTTGGGGGACTATCTTGGATGTCCTACAGGTAAGGTTGGGGGACTATCTTGGATGTTCTACAGGTAAGGTTGGAGGACTATCTTGGATGTTCTACAGGTAAGGTTGGGGGACCATCTTGGATGTCCTACAGGTAAGGTTGGGTGACTATCTAGGATGTCCTACAGGTAAGGTTGGGGGAATATCTTGGATGTCCTACAGGTAAGGTTGGGGGACTATCTTGGATGTCCTACAGGTAAGGTTGGGGGACTATCTTGGATGTCCTACAGGTAAGGTTGGGTGACTATCTTGGATGTCCTACAGGTAAGGTTGGGGGACTTCTGTGACAAGGAAACTTTCTAGGCCCTCTTGCAGTTAATTTTGTGTGTGTAGCTGTCTTGAACGAGCTACATGTAAAAATAACACACCACGTTATCTACCAACATGCTCTCGAAAATTTGTGATCTCATGGCCTAACAAAATCGTTAACATCGGCGTATAATGGGAGACCTGCCTACCACTGTTGTCTTGTTTCCCCAGAACGGCAAGTTCAACTTGACCACACCTGATTCTGTTGTCTTGTTCCCCCAGAACGGCAAGTTCCACTTGACCACAACTGATTCTGCTGTCTTGTTCCCCCAGAACGGCAAGTTCAACTTGACCACAGACTTCAAGGTCTCGCTGGCCGTAGAGATCGCTGCTGGCATGGCATTTCTGCACGTCAATGGTCTGGTACACGGCATGCTGACGTCATACTGCTGCATGCTGGACAATAAGTGGACAGTCAAGGTGAGTGCACTCGGTCACTGCTCGTTATAGGCTTCATGTGCTGTCATGTGCTGTCATGTGATGTCATGTGCTGTCATGTGCTGTCATGTGCTGTCATGTGTTGTCATGTGATGTCATGTGATGTAATGTGATGTCATCTGTTGTCATGTGTTTTCATGTGCTGTCATATGCTGTCATGTGCTGTCATATGCTGTCATGTCCTTCATGGGCTGTCGTGTGCTGTCGTGTGCTGTCATGTGATGTCATGTGCAAGAAATACAAGAAAACACAAAAAAAGAAAAATGTAAAACAAAACTCGCTCTTCTTAGATTATCTACAGCATTCAAATGACAAACACAGTTAGGGCTACGTGTATCACTATAGAATACGTTAGGGCTACATGCGTCACCATCGAATACGTTAGGGCTACATGTCTCACCATCGAATACGTTAGGGCTACATGCGTCACCATCGAATACGTTAGGGCTACATGCGTCACCATCGAATACGTTAGGGCTACATGTCTCACCATCGAATACGTTAGGGCTACATGCCATCGAATACCGGCAATATACCATACCGTAGCTAACAAAATACTACACCACCTCCGGAACAGTGGAACAATAAAGCCCCATGTCTAATTCCCATAATAAAGCCTCATATCAAAGCACCACACGAAAGACCATTGCAGTGAATTTTTTTTTCCAAATATCGATCACTCATAACTTCAATTAAATGTAATATCCTCATCAAAATACTTTATTTAATCTATCCAGGGTACGAAAATAATTGCACAACGCTCCCCAATTATCACGTTAATTACATTTCAAATTATGCGTTGTTATTTGTTTTTTTTTTTTTTTAGATAGGCGACTGGGAGTTCCTGAAACTTCTGTCTGTGGAGAACCCGAGGAGAAACCCCCTGCTTGTGATGAGGGCCAAAGGTTGTCTGTACGGTGACCAGTTCGAGGCGGTCTTCAAGTGAGTCACATGGTTTAAATGGCGCAGCAGAAAATTGTATTTTGTTGGGGCTTTAGGTTTAATCAACGGATAATTCTTCCAACAGCGGCGGTGATCATTTTTTTGTGTGTATTTTAGATCGATTCGATTGATCTTTTTTTTTAAATTAGATCGATTTGATTGATCTTTTAAAAAAAAAATTTAGACCGATATAATTGCTGTTTTTTTAATTATCTCGAGACTGCCCAGTGTTAACCTGAGTAGTCTGTACACACGTTCTTTTGAAATACTCATACATCAAAATTATAGCTTTTTAATCTAACGCACGATGCAGAACGAATTGCAATGTCTCTTTTAAAAAAGAAAAACAGAAGTTATATAGTAGCTGGATCTATGATATTACCCCCATTTCCACCAGCTATTACACCCCCCCCCTCGCCTTCCCATTGTATTTTATTCCATTTCTCAAATTGAAGTTCCCCGTCATTTCCGCCTGCTGTTACCCCCCCCCCCCCCCACACCTGCATGTTTTTCCACTTCTCATAATATGGATATGAACACTATTGGTCCCTCTCCTCCCTCTCCTCCCTCTCCTCCCTCTCCTCCCTAGACCATGTTTATTACCACCCCTGTAGCCTTCATCACCAACATTTGTTGAGTGAAAGCATAGGTCTCTAGCAGGTACAAGGGTAAAGTTAGTGGACTCTACTTGTAATGTAGTTAAACGTATTACCCACTAAATGAGGGTTTCATGTAGATTTTATAACATCATACATCGTGTCCGTTTTGTACATTCATATTTGTAAAGTTTGCTTTTGTTGTATATATTTGGAGCTTATAGACGGGGGGTAGATGTTCGGGATCAATGTTCTGCTTCCTTTACAGTTGACCAACTTCTATCCCCCCCCCCCCCAGAGATTTCTGGACCGCTCCTGAGATCCTGAGATCCGAATTCTCCGAGTGGCCGAACCAGGCCAGTGACGTGTACAGCTACGCCATCATCCTCCAGGAGATCTTCACCCGAGATGACCCGTACTTCGAGCTGGCTGACCACATGACAGCAGAGCAGGTCAGTTGGTCTGGTCTGGTCTTGCGTGTGTAGCTACATGTGACATATGACATGTATATAGCTATATCTCTCATTAAGTACACCATTTGACATTCATGTGTTTACACCTGTCATTGACTAGACCACATGACATGGATGTGTCTACACCTGTCATTGACTTGACCACATGACATGGATGTGTCTACTATAGAAAGAAATCCTTAATATCGGCTAGCCCTTTCATACAACATCACAATGCTCCAATCGCATCCCATTGCTACCATTCAAACTCCTAATAAGCCACATTTTCGTCCCTGATAGTTCCTAGCGCTCAATGGCTACCATTCAAATAGCTACTTAGACGTCCCGTTATTCCCAATAGCACTCTTTACGAACCATTGTTTCTCAGTCAGAGAGTCCCATGAGACCCCATTATTTCCTAGAACTCTTTTACCTCCGCTTATTTCCCATCACGTCCCATTATTTGATCACGTCCCATTATTTGATCACGTCCCATTATTCCCCATCACGTCCCATTATTCCCCATGACGTCCCATTATTCCCCATCACGTCCCATTATTCCCCATCACGTCCCATTATTCCCATGACGTCATATTATTCCCCATCACGTCCCATTATTCCCCATCACGTCCCATTATTCCCCATCACGTCCCATTATTCCCCATCACGTCCCATTATTCCCCATCACGTCCCATTATTCCCATGACGTCATATTATTCCCCATCACGTCCCATTATTCCCCATCACGTCCCATTATTCCCCATCACGTCCCATTATTCCCATGACGTCATATTATTCCCCATCACGTCCCATTATTCCCCATCACGTCCCATTATTCCCATGACGTCATATTATTCCCCATCACGTCCCATTATTCCCCATCACGTCCCATTGTATCCCATCACGTCATATTATTCCCCATCACGTCATATTATTCCCCATCACGCCCCATTGTATCCCATAACGTCCCATTATTTGATCACGTCCCATTGTTGCCCATCACGTCCCATTATTTGATCACGTCCCATTATTTGATCACGTCCCATTATTTGATCACGTCCCATTATTTGATCACGTCCCATTATTTGATCACGTCCCATTATTCCCCATCACGTCCCATTATTTGATCACGTCCCATTATTTGATCACGTCCCATTATTTGATCACGTCCCATTACTTCCCATCACGTCCCATTATTCCCCATCACGTCCCATTATTCCCATGACGTCATATTATTCCCCATCACGTCCCATTATTCCCCATCACGTCCCATTATTCCCCATCACGTCCCATTATTCCCCATCACGTCCCATTATTCCCCATCACGTCCCATTATTCCCCATCACGTCCCATTATTCCCATGACGTCATATTATTCCCCATCACGTCCCATTATTCCCCATCACGTCCCATTGTATCCCATGACGTCATATTATTCCCCATCACGTCCCATTATTCCCCATCACGTCCCATTATTCCCCATCACGTCCCATTATTCCCCATCACGTCCCATTATTCCCCATCACGTCCCATTGTATCCCATGACGTCCTATTATTCCCCATCACGTCCCGTTATTCCCCATCACGTCCCATCGTATCCCATGATGTCCCATTATATCCCATCACGTCCCATTATTCCCATGACGTCCTATTATTCCCCATCACGTCCCATTATTCCCCATCACGTCCCATTATCCCCCATCACGTCCCATTATCCCCCATCACGTCCCATTATTCCCCATCACGTCCCATTATTCCCCATCACGTCCCATTATTCCCCATCACGTCCCATTATTCCCCATCACGTCCCATTATTCCCCATCACGTCCCATTGTTCCCCATCACGTCCCATTGTTCCCCAGATCATCCACGCCATTGTCTACAACAGACTACGCCCCGAGCCCAGTCCTGAAGCACCGGTCACTATCAGGCAGGTGATGGAACTGGCGTGGTCAGACACACCTGCAGCCAGACCTACATTTGAGCAGGTAAACAGTTCTAATCTTTATTAGATAATGATCAGCTTTCATAAGCGTACAACATGTCCTGGTGAAAACGGTCCGCGGAACAAAAGTTGCGGGAACAAAAGTCAGGGGGAACAAAAGTCGCTGGAACAAAAGTCAGTGGGAACTAAAGTCCTGGATAAACAGAAATCGCAGTAACAAAGGGCTCACATTTTTGTTTACATCTAGCTATATTAAAATTGATGTATTTTTCATATTTACGTTTAAATGGCTAATAATTTAGTCAGAAGTAGGCTAGTTAGGTTTCTAATTTAAGATTGAAACATATATGCTAACCCGATCACAATTGTATTTTTACTTTCTCGTATATACGAAGTATAGCGAAAGTCTTGTAATCGTGCACAAAAATCACATTAAATTTGGGCAGTTTTTACCGTTTTACTCCTCAGTACTTCATCACATCTGGGATATAGAGGACTTATTTTAATCGGGCAAAAATTATAAATCCAGATTTATAAAAATTTTAGCGTTTTATGCGTAATGGAGTCGGAAAAACTGGATTATCCAATTCTGTCCGTATGTCTGTGTGTGTGTAAACACGATAACTTGAGTACCGTTACAGCTAGGTTGATGAAATTTCATATATAAGTATTATATCAAAATCGTAGATCCGTATCAACTTTTGAGCGATTTCTGATAACCGGAAGTGGAACTTTTTTACTTTGAATTTTTCAAAAGCCTATAACTTGAGTACTATTTCAGATGGATAAATGAAATTTCACTTGTAAGTAAGAGATCTAATTCTCTGCCTTCTATCAAATTTTGAGTAATTTCCGTTGACTGGAAGTAATAATTTTCGCTATTTCCGATTTCTCAAAAAACGCATGTGAATTTATAAAGTACTAATAATATTCCGCACTTTTTTACACTTTTTATATGACGTTCACTTGGTGTGCAATTCTTTTTTCTACGAGATTTTATTCTATTTTAAAAAGTTTAAGTATTTAAAATGGATTAAAAGTCATGTCTATATCCCGAGTTGCCATTCCCTGTTGTTTCATATAAGAATATGCGAGAAAGTTTAGGGGAGATCACTCCCGGTTTATTTTCAAATAGTACTTCAAAATCGCGAATCAAAAGTAAGACATTATTTATAAATTAGTTCTCCCAAACCAATTCCAACAATATTTTAAATGGGAGCATGTGATAATGTGAATTATCCTTTGGTTTACTAATTTGAAGTTTACAATAAAAAGTTTGTAAATTCATTACTTAAAAACATAATCCATATTTTTTGACCCTCGAAATTTTAAATTCACAACAGGTTTTCTGTGACTTGTTTCGTCTGATTTTTATTTCTTTGGCTTTTATTCCGGTCACCGCTGGAAATATGTTGGTCATTTGGACCTCGGCTTGGAAGCCGAGATTTTAACGCCAACACTGCACAGACTCTACCGCTTGACCACACGAATCAAAACCAGTGTTCCTTCCTGAATCTACCCCCCCCCCCGGAGAAAAAAGTCTAGAAGAAACACTGCTCAAATCATGCTCAGAGTTCGTGGTTCATCGTATTGGACTATCCAACACTGCCTTCACTGTCGGTCATCATGACCTTTACTGTTGGTCTCTCGTAGCATGACCTTCACTGATGGTCTGTCGTACTATGACCTTCACTGATGGTCTGTCGTAGCATGACCTTCACTGATGACCTGTTGTAGCATAACCTTCACTGATGACCTGTTGTAGCATGACCTTCACTGATGGTCTGTTGTAGCATGACCTTCACTGATGGTCTGTTGTAGCATGACCTTCACTGATGGTCTGATAGCATGACCTTCAATGATGGCCTGTCGTAGCATGACCTTCACTGATGGCCTGTCGTAGCATGACCTTCACTGATGGTCTGATGGCATGACCTTCACTGATGGCCTGTCGTAGCATGACCTTCACTGATGGTCTGATGGCATGACCTTCACTGATGGCCTGCTAGCATGACCTTCACTGATGACCTGTTGTAGCATGACCTTCACTGATGACCTGTTGTAGTATGACCTTCACTGATGGTCTGTTGTAGCATGACCTTCACTGATGGTCTGTCGTAGCATTGGTTCCACTGGTGGCTTATCATTAAAAATCAATAGCAGAAGACTCGAGATATCGAACAGCGATCAGATCAAAGCGGTAAACTGATGACTTGATCCGATTTTAAACCGATGGACTCTCGCGAGCAGATCGGGCAAACACGTATCGGTTCTACGGGTGACAGGGGCCCTGAGAGATGACCCTACATAAACAAACCGTTGCCATGGCAATATATTTGTCTTACAACAGTCTCGTGTTGCATGATATTCTAGTTTTAACACACAGGCCTTTATGATTGGGGTTATGTTTAGGGGTTATGTTTAGGGTTATGTTTAGGGGTTATGTTTAGGGGTTATGTTTAGGGTTATGTTTAGGGTTATGTTTAGGGTTATGTTTAGGGTTATGTTTAGGGTTATGTTTAGGCGTTATGTTTAGGGGTTATGTTTAAGGGTTATGTTTAGGCGTCATGTTTAGGGGTATGTTTAGGGGTTATATTATAAAGTTTTATTAACTGTCCAGTTATTCAATAGTACTACATGGGATGTCGTCAGTAGATAACGGTGTTTAACTTAAACCAAATTTTACCCCTACCCTTACCCTACACCCTCACCTTTGCAATACTAAAGCAAGATCTAGCTGCCCTTAAACGACGTCACTGATGGTTTCTAACGTGTTGTTCATTGTTTCTGTTCTTCAACAGCAGAAACATGTTACAACACATAGCTTGATTCCCCCCCCCCCCACTCTTCAGTAGTAGATCTACACAAATGTCTGAAAACATTCTACACTGAGGTGTCGTGTACACACTTAACTTACACTGACCGTATGTGTACTACACATGTGTACTCACTAAAGCTGATGTTGTTCTTGTACCCCCAGATCACGAAGATGTTGGGTACACATGTGTACACACTAAAGCTGATGTTGTTCTTGTACCCCCAGATCACGAAGATGTTGGGTACACATGTGTACACACTAAAGCTGATGTTGTTCTAATACCCCAGATCACGAAGAGGTTGTGTACACATGTGTACTCAATAAAGCTGATGTTGTTCTCATACCCCCAGATCACGAAGATGTTGGGTACACATGTGTACACACTAAAGCTGATGTTGTTCTTGTACCCCCAGATCACGAAGATGTTGGGTACACATGTGTACACACTAAAGCTGATGTTGTTCTCATACCCCCAGATCACGAAGATGTTGGGTACACATGTGTACACACTAAAGCTGATGTTGTTCTTGTACCCCCAGATCACGAAGAGGTTGTGTACACATGTGTACACACTAAAGCTGATGTTGTTCTTGTACCCCCAGATCACGAACATGCTGGGTACACATGTGTACACACTAAAGCTGATGTTGTTCTAATACCCCCAGATCACGAAGATGCTGGGTACACATGTGTACACACTAAAGCTGATGTTGTTGTACTCCCAGATCACGAAGATGCTGTGTACACACTAAAGCTGATGTTGTTGTACCCCCAGATCACGAAGATGTTGGGTACACATATGTACACACTAAAGCTGATGTTGTTCTCATACCCCCAGATCACGAAGATGTTGGGTACACATGTGTACACACTAAAGCTGATGTTGTTCTAATACCCCAGATCACCAAGATGTTGGGTACACATGTGTACACACTAAAGCTGATGTTGTTGTACCCCCAGATCACGAAGATGTTGGGTACACATGTGTACACACTAAAGCTGATGTTGTTGTACCCCCAGATCACGAAGATGCTGGGTACACATGTGTACACACTAAAGCTGATGTTGTTGTACCCCCAGATCACGAAGATGTTGGGTACACATGTGTACACACTAAAGCTGATGTTGTTGTACCCCCAGATCACGAAGATGCTGGGTACACTTGTGTACACACTAAAGCTGATGTTCTTGTACCCCCAGATCACGAAGATGCTGAGACGGAACAGGACGGGCAGGAAGACTATCATGGACAACATGATGGAGGCCATGGAGGACTACACGGCTCATCTAGAGGAGGAGATGGAGGCCAAGGTCAGGGTCGGTCTATAGGGTCGTGGGGTCGTGCTAAATGGAGTGGTTTATGTGGCGGTGTTGATTTTAATATATGGTGATGGCGGGGTTCGTTTTGTGATGGTGGTGGTGGTGGGGGGGGTTCGTGTGGTGGTGGTGGCTGGGTTCGTGTGGTGGTGGCGCGTATTTTATTGTGGTGCTGTTGTTGTGGTTTATGTAATTGTATTGTGACGGTAGAGAGGCTCGCGTATTAGTGGTTGAACATTGCGTGTGGTGTTCGTTGTTTTATAACTTGCTAGGGACACAGAATTGCCGCACAACAACTAATTCTGACTTAAACAGAGGCTCCCGTGAATAGACTAGCTCAGGTATTCTTCGGAAAACTTGAAACTTGTGTGGAAAGATACAGTTGATAAAAGAAATAAGGGGTGGTCGTTCATGAATGATGTCATACTCATAGGCTTCAGTAGTGTCATGTTAGCATCAATTTTATGATGCGCTAATTCTTGAATTCGAGTTCTATCGTCAAAGGCATTTAAGGTCCGTTATTGATTCGCAGTCCCATTATAGTTCCGTTATTAGGGTGAACTGAGCCCGCGGTGGTGTTGGTTACATAGCATCCCACCAAACCACTAGACCACGCCGCCACACGTCTATTGTTTTAAGAAATTTAACATTTACATCACCTTTTTTCTAAATCCCACCACAATAGATGTCTACTGTAAACATTTACATCACCTTTTTTCTAAATCCGTCCCAAAATAGATGCCTACTGTAAACATTTACATCACCTTTTTTTTCTAAATCCGTCCCAAAATAGATGCCTACTTTAAACATTTACATCACCTTTTTTCTAAATCCGTCCCAAAAATAGATGCCTACTGTAAACATTTACATCACCTTTTTTCTAAATCCGTCCCAAAAATAGATGCCTACTGTAAACATTTACATCACCTTTTTTCTAAATCCCACCACAATAGATGCCTACTGTAAACATTTACATCACATTTTTTCTAAATCCCACCAAAATAGATGCCTACTGTAAACATTTACTTCACCTTTTTTTTAAATCTCACCAAAATAGATGCCTACTGTAAACATTTACTTCACCTTTTTACTTTCTCGTATATACGAAGTATAGAGAAAGTATTGTAATCGTGCACAAAAATCACTTGAAATTTTAACAATTTTCACCGTATTACACCTCAGTCCTTCATCACATCCGAAGTACAGAGGACTTATTTTAATCGGGCAAAAATTATCAATCCAGATTTATCAAAATTAAGAAGTTTTATGCGTAATCCAGTCTGAAAAACTGAGCTTTGCAATTCTGTCCGTATGTCTGTGTGTCTGTGTGTGTGTCTGTCCGTGTGTAAACACGATAACTTGAGTACCGTTACAGCTAGGTTGATGAAATTTCATATATAAGTATTTTATCAAAATCTAAGATCCGTATCAACTTTTGAGCGATTTCCAATAACCGGAAGTGGTACTTTTTCTACTTTGAATTTTTCAAAAGCCTATAACTTGAGTACTATTTCAGATAGATAAATGAAATTTCACATGTAAGTAAAAGATCTAATTCTCTACCTTCTGTTAAATTTTGAGTAATTTCCGTTGACTGGAAGTAGTAATTTACGCTACTTCCGATTTCTCAAAAAACTAATGTAAATTTTAAAAGTACTAATAATATTGCGCACTATTATGCGCTTTTTTATTTCGCGTTCACTTGGTGTGCAATTAATTTGTCTACGAGATTTTATTCTATTTTTAAAACTTTAAGTATTTAAAATGGATTAAAAATCATGTCTATAGCCCGGGTTCCTATCCCCTGTTGTTTTATATAAGAATATTCGAGAAAGTTTAGGGGAGATCACTCCCGGTTTATTTTTAAATCCCACCAAAATAGATGCCTACTGTAAACATTTACTTCACCTTTTTTTTAAATCCCACCAAAATAGATGCTTACTGTAAACATTTACTACTTGTCAGATAATAAAATGAGTATAAAAACCTTTACGTATAAAAACTTTTATATAAACAAGTTTTTTTAATTACTGTAAAAACAAGAACATAAAATAAACTTGCTTTCTTTAGATACAATTGTAAACGCGTTAGAATCTTGAATCTGAAGAAATGTCATTATTTTATTTTAACATTTTGGTTTGCGTTGTAAAAAGCTTGTTACAAATGTTATGCTTATTTTATTATCTACTGTTTAGTGGTTTAGTGGCCGTCTGTAAAAATAGAAATAGTTTATCCCAGTGTTTCTTTCAGACTTTTTTCTTCGGGAGGGTTTGGGGCACTTGATATTTTATGGGGGCGGGGGCGAACTTATAAATTATATATTTTCTATATAAATTATATTTTTCCGGGGCGGGGGGGGGGGGATCCCCTGAAGAGATGCCTGAAAGAAACTCTGGTTAATCCGTACTTTAGTTTGATTCTCTCTAGTCCATTGGTTCTTCATTAAGTCGACATCATGCATGACTTTAGGTATCTGTTTTTAAAACCCTATCTGCAGTCTACGATCTTATTTCTAGACGACATTATCTGTCCCGTATATTGACGTTAGTGATCTGCTCTATCTTGTGTGAAGCAGTCAGTGAACTCACCCTTCCGTTCGCTGATAGAGAACTCGCTACTACTTTTTATTCATGTTATCTCCCCTTGTGTTATTGAATCTAATATATAAAGCTCAATTCTGTAACGCATATGTTTGTCGTTGGCATTTCTACGGATTTAAGTGTTAGATCAATTATCGTGCGCGTTTGTCTAAATTTATGAGTTAAAAAATTACTATTAAAAGTGTTGGGAAATCATTTTCATTTTTCAAATTATAGTAATAATTGTCGGCATGTTCATTAAACACAAGTTTTAAAAAAAATATCATCTTTTACAAAAATTCTAATTATGTTTTTATTTAGTCCTATAGCGCTTACTTCCCTTTGATAAATTAGGCAAAACACAATTACTTCCCTTTATGAAATCATTGCATTAGTTGAAAAGCATTTACTTTTTAATTACTTTGTTTTGGTGTTGGGAAAAAAATAATTACATAATTAGCGGGGATTGATCAAGTGCAAATGTTGTAGGTATTTTACGGATAAGCTTGGAGTATTATAATTGTTCATTAAATTGAAACAGGCGCGTTCGTTTAAGTGAGTGCAAAAACTATGAATAAGTTGGGGTACTATAGTCGTTTATTAAGCTAAAACAGGCGATTCTGCCCCGGGCGTTTATGTTCGCGTTAGTGTTTTCTTTGTGTTTAGGTGGGTTTGCGTTAGTGGTTGCGTTTTGATTTGGTTCGTTTTTGTTCTTTCTTTTTTCGTTTTTGTTTGTATTTTTTTTTGTTTGGGTTTGTATTTGTGTTTTTGGTTGGTTTTGCGTTTGGATTTGGTTTGTTTTCGTTCTTTCTTTTTTCGTTTTTGTTTGTGTTTTTTTGTTTGGGTTTGTATTTGTGTTTTTGGTTGGTTTTGCGTTTGGATTTGGTTTGTTTTCGTTTGCTTTTTCGTTTTTTTTTTTTTGTTGGTATTGGTGTTTGTGGTTGGGTTTGTTGTTAGGTTTTTGTTTTCGTTTGCTTTTTTGTTTGTTTTTTCTTTGTGTTTGTATTGGTGTTTGTGGTTGTGGTTGGGTTTGTTGCTAGGTTTTTGTTTTCGTTTGTATTTGTAATTGTGTTAGCGTTATGTTTGCGTTTTGTTGTTTTGGTTTTGGTTGGTCGTGGTTTGGGTGAGCAATGCCGGGTTTATGATGATTACTAAACACGCAGGTAATGGTCTTTAACAGAAAGGTTTTTCACAGAAGCCAGAGCAGGGCCTGGCCGGGACGGCTAGTATAGTTTTATTTAGAATATTTTTTTTTAAAGAGAGAAAGAAAAAAAAATGGAAAAGGAGAGATTGAGACAAAGAAAGACAGACATGAAATAGAAAACGTTTTTAAAATTAACATTTACATCAACAACAGCAATTACCCTGTCATCTTCTTCTTTTAAATGCTTGTATTTATGACCGTTTTATGCTTGTTTTACTTGATACTGTATTTTCTTTTTCTTGAGTTTGTTTCCTGAATTTGTTACCTGTTTTTTTTTTCGTCCCTGTTTTCTCCCAATGATTTTGTTTTGGTGACGTTGACTCAGTGCTATTAAAAGCCATGTTATGAGGGGTAGGTTAAGTGTGTCGTCATTTTACAGGGGGGGGGGTCTTAACTGTGACGATGGGGAAGGGGGTTAGGTAAAAAGAAAGCGTGACATCATTCATGCATAGTACGTTTTTAATTACAGTCTTCCGCGGGTTGAAGTGCCTAGTTTGTGTTCAAGTCGGTAGCGGTTTGGATTTTTAAAATTGCGAATTAACTGCTTGTAATCGCAATGCTAGTCTGCAACAAATGGACCATAAACAAGTTATATTAAGGGAACAATTGAAAGTTGAAAATCAAAATCAATTTTGCACAGTAGGAAAAAAACTTACTTGCCAGTAACTAGAGCACACTGGGTTGGAGGGGGAGGGGGGGGGGGGAGGGCAGGGGCATTGTTTTAGCAAGAAATGACAGGCATTAATTTAACGACAAAAGGCAGGGGCATTGTTTTAATAATAAAGTACAGGGGGCATCGTTAAAAACTAAAAGCATGACACCGGTTACGTGGTTATTAACCATCCCATGGACCCCAACCCATCTCTCTCTCTCTCTCTCTCTCTCTCTCTCTCTCTCTCTCTCTCTATATATATATATATATATATATATATATATATATATATATATATATATATATATATATATATATATATATATATATATATATATATATTTATTTATTTATTTATTATCAATGGAATATTATCAAACATTTTATATTATTTTTTAAACCTTTTATGTCCAATCCCTGGCTACGCCACTGCACAAAATTGTCATGTTTTTGTTGATATTTCTGTGTTAAAACTAAATCATTTTTAAACGACAGGAAAATGCTCTGCAGTCAGTCAAGTCCGACCTGGACAACCTAATATCAGAGTTGGTTCCGTCCGATTACAGCAGGGCTATAAGCGCCGGAGAGAAGATGGAATCAACCATTTACCCAGCTCTAGGGGTGATCATGTTGGATGTATCCCATACCGGCACGACGATGGAGATGGCGGCAGTACAAAATATGTTCAAGTTTCTGGGGAGGGTCTCGTCACAGCTTAAACAGGTAGGACTTTCAGCTCAGTGGTGACACATGGTGACACCATTCAGGTGGTGACACAGTTCAGAGGGGGACACGTTTCAGAGGGGGACACCATTCAGGGGTGACATCACTCATATTGTGACATCATTTGTGGGTGACAACATTGAGAAAATGACATCACTTTGGGGGTGACACCAAGACGAAAAATTAAAGTCAGTTAAATAAAATGGTTTTGCAGTAAATAAGCAGTTAAGCAGTTTGATATATTCCGTTGGCAGTGGTGATTGATGCCAATTAAAAGGTAACTTCCATATTCACAAGATCATGAAAAAGCACCACTCCATGTTGACCCTTCACTCATCAGAGTATGAAAACAATATTATGTTAACCCTCTACTCACCAGATCCCGACAAAAATGTTATGTTAACCCTATACTCACCAGAGCATAAAAAAGTTTTAGTCCATGTTAACCCTCTACTCACCGATCACGACAAAATGTTATGTTAACCCTCTACTCACAAGACCACGAAAAAAATGTTATGTTAACCCTCTACTCACCAGATCACGACAAAAATGTTATGTTAACCCTCTACTCACCGAACCATTAAAAAGTTTTAGTCCATGTTAACCCTCTACTCACCAGATCATAAAAATGTTATGCTAACTCTCTACTCACCAAATCATAAAAAGTGTTATGTTAACCCTCTCCTCCCCAGATCATGAAAAAAAATGTTATGTTAACCCTCTACTCACCAGATCACGACAAAAATATTGTGTTAACCCTCTACTCACCAAATCATAAAAAATGTTATGTTAACCCTCTACTCACCAGATCCTAAAAATGTTATGTTAACCCTCTACTCACCAGATCACGAAAAAGTACCACGCCTACAGCCCCTACAACCAACTCCAGCAAACCCAGACCTTCGTTCTAGGCCTGGACAAACAGGAAGTGACATTAAATGACAGATGTCAGGCAGTGGCTTACATGGCATTGGACATCATGAGGGTATTGACACTTGTTTACATTTGACCGATATTTGTTTTAAACGGTCGTCTCTATGGCTTACTTTAAGACGCACTAATTAACCACCAGCCATTATCAAGCCTTAAAGTACCCCAATCGAAGCTCTCCCGTTTATTTTGTGGTCAGCGTAACCTTGGCGCGTCCAATCACTCCCCCTCCCCTTTAATCTCCTAATTACGGCACAAAAAATGGAAAATCTAAATGGAGTGACATGTTTTAATTCGTATTGATGTGTGGAAGCACTCACGTCAAAAGGTCAAAGTTCACTGATTTTCTTAAAGAATATATATATATATAAATATATAATAAATATATACGTATTTATTTAGACCTTGTCCTTGTAAAACGACAAAGCCGGTGTACAATGAGTTATTTCCATTACTTTAATTAAGTTATGTGAAAAATACAGCATTATAAAATATAACAAGCCAGTAGCGTAGCGAGGGGGGGCGCCGACCTTAGGGGGCGCCAAAATGGGTCGGAAAAATAAATTGAAATGTTGAGGGGGTGCAAATCGAAAGTTTGAGGGTGGGGGGGTGCAAATCGAAATCTTGGTGCAAATTGAAAGTTTGAGGGGGGTTGGGGGGGTGCAAATCGAAATCTTGAGGGGGGGGGGTGCAAATCAAAAAGTTTGTCCCCGGGCGCCGGGAAAGGTCGCTACGCCTCTGTAACAAGCTGAACTAATATTCGATTGTTCTTTATTTAGATTCTGCAGCTATCGAGCTTTGAGACTCAGGATAAGACATCAGGTAGCCTTGACCTTCAGGTGAGGTCATTTCCGTTCCGTATTGGTGCGCATGTTGGCACCGTGGCTACCGGCAACATAGGTGTGACGTCCCCGCAGTTTGTGCTGCTGGGTGACGGCATAGACGTCAGCCACGCCCTCCTGGCCAGCGCTGACGTCAACAGTGTCAGGATCTCCAGGGGCGTGTACAGCCAGCTGGAGAAGAACCCGGATTTTGAGCTCTCTAAGGCGGAGCCAGAGTGGGTCATCTGTAATGTAAGTGGTGTCATGTAGGTGGTGTTATGTAAGGGGTGTCATGTAAGTGGTGTCATGTAGGTGGTGTCATGTAGGTGGTGTTATGTAAATGGTGTCATGTAGGTGGTGTTATGTAGGTGGTGTTATGTAGGTGGTGTTATGTAGGTGGTGTTATGTAGGTGGTGTTATGTAGGTGGTGTTATGTAGGTGGTGTCATGTAAGTGGTGTCATGACAGTGGGTCAACTGTAATGTAAGTGGCGTCATATAAGTGGTGTCATGTAAGTGGTGTCATGTAAGTGGTGTCATGTAGGTGGTGTCATGTAGGTGGTGTTATGTAGGTGGTGTTATGTAAGTGGTGTCATGACAGTGGGTCAACTGTAATGTAAGTGGCGTCATATAAGTGGTGTCATGTAAGTGGTGTCATGTAAGTGGTGTCATGTAGGTGGTGTTATGTAGGTGGTGTTATGTAGGTGGTGTTATGTAGGTGGTGTTATGTAGGTGGTGTCATGTAAGTGGTGTCATGACAGTGGGTCAACTGTAATGTAAGTGGCGTCATATAAGTGGTGTCATGTAAGTGGTGTCATGTAAGTGGTGTCATGTAGGTGGTGTTATGTAGGTGGTGTTATGTAGGTGGTGTTATGTAGGTGGTGTCATGTAGGTGGTGTTATGTAAATGGTGTCATGTAAGTGGTGTCATGACAGTGGGTCAACTGTAATGTAAGTGGCGTCATATAAGTGGTGTCATGTAAGTGGTGTCATGTAAGTGGTGTCGTGTGCAAGCTGTCGTGTATGTGGTGTCGTGTAAGTGGTGTCATGTAAGTCATGTCAAGTAAGTGGTGTTATGTAATTGGTGTCATGTAAGTGTTGTAATGTAGGTGGTCATGTAAGTGGTGTCGTGTAAGGGGTGTCGTGTACGTGGTGTCGTGTAAGTGGTGTCGTGTAAGGGGTGTCATTAAGTGGTGTCATGTAAGTGGTGTCGTGTAAGTGGTGTCGTGTAAGTGGTGTCATTAAGTGGTGTCATGTAAGTGGTGTAATGTAAGTGGTGTCGTGTAAGTGGTGTCATTAGGTGGTGTCATGTAAGTGGTGTAATGTAAGTGGTGTCGTGTAAGTGGTGTCGTTAAGTGGCGTCATTAAGTGGTGTCATGTAAGTGATGTCATGTAAGTGGTGGAATGTAAGTGGGGTCATGCAAGCGCAGGTGATGTAATGTAACTGAAGTAATTGTAAGCACAGTCGATGTCATGTAAGTGATGTAAGTGGTGTCATGTAATTGGTGTCATGTAAGTGTTGTAATGTAGGTGGTCATGTAAGTGGTGTCGTGTACGTGGTGTCGTGTAAGTGGTGCCGTGTAAGTGGTGTCATTAAGTGGTGTCATGTAAGTGGTGTCGTGTAAGTGGTGTCGTGTAAGTGGTGTCATTAGGTGGTGTCATGTAAGTGGTGTCATGTAAGTGGTGTCGTGTAATGTAACTGAAGTAATTGTAAGCACAGTCGATGTCATGTAAGTGATGTAATGAAAGCACATGACTTGTAAGTGTTTTGACGTAAGCAAATGTATCGTAATGGAAGTGCACGTGAGTTGTAATGTAAGTGATACATTGTCGGCCACAACAGCATGTCGACCATACAACGTATCGGTTCTTTCTAGTCTAAGCGATGGTTTTAACTATCGAAGAGCATCGATTGGCCACATGAATTCATTCTCGATCGTCAGATTGAGTGGGGAAAATGGTATTAAAATTTCACGGATATCTTTGAGTGTGTTTTGGGAAGTTGTCGCTAACAAAGTGGACGTTGTTGCAAGAGGTGGGAGTATACCAGGGGTTCCCAACCCAGTGCCCGCGGGCGCCATGGCGCCCGCCAAACGATTCGTATGTGCCCGCCTCTCACTATTCGACAGAGACATAATTTTTTTCATAAACATTATTGAAAGGTTGAAGGGGGTGCAAATCGAAAGTTTGAGGGGGGGGGGGTGCAAATCGAAAGTTTGAGGGGGGGTGCAAATCGAAAGTTTCAGGGGGGGGGGTGCAAATCGAAAGTTTTGTCCCCGGGTGACGGGAAGGGTCGCTACGCCTCTGGAAGGAGTTTGTCGATTTAAAATAGGTGGTGCCCGCCACCCTACCGATATTTTAGAATGTGCTCTAGAGTAAAAAAAAAGGTTGGGAACCCCTGGAGTATACACACTTTCTACACTTATTTCTTTGACCAACAATAATTTATCTCTGTAAGGTCCAAAGCTGGTCCCATTAGTAATGAATTATAAAATTAAATTGTAAATTACAGATGGAAACATGGCTGACAAAGTGAAACATATTTATAAAAAAAAATTAACCCTTTGAGCCCTGGCCTCCCTGACCTAATTTCTCCCATTTCCTGAGCTTCCAGGCCCAAACCGATTTTCACTTATCTGCTTCTAACTTTGCCTATAACTTTTGAACCGTTTGAGATAATCAAGCCAAATTTGGTATCCAGACTCAGGATCAAACAACAATGCAGCAAGATTCTGAAAATCTTTATTTTTTTTTACATTGTTTGAACAGAACAATGTATATAAAACGAACACATAATTATTGTTTTGATAGAACATAGAAGAAACCAATTTACATTTAGTAATTGTTTTGTTATTATTGATACCTGGCCATACTAGTTCAACGCCAGAGGTCCACTTTTGTGTGATAACTTATAAAACAGTTATCACTGCCGGACCCGATGCAAAGAAAAACTTCGCATGTTTGGCACCGATAAACATTTTTTTTTCGTTTCGCCAAGTCTTTGTCCTTGACACCACATGCATCAGAACGTACTTGAACAGTTTCATTGTCACTGTCGATTTCAATGTCACTGTGTTCAGTCTCAAATTCAACGTCACTATGATCACAATATAGACCAGGAATATTATCTTCTTCATCAGAATCAATAAGTAGTTGTATTGCCTGAGATGCAGTCATTCTACTTCTTTTGTTGATATTTCGGTCTTTTGCTTCATCTTGTGCACCAACTTTATGTGATGAAGTCGACGGCTGTGGCTCAACTTTTCGTTTCGGCGGCATTGCTACGAAATGTAAACACTTTCACTTTTCCTAAAAATCAATTTTAAAATCATAATCCCGCACTCAAAAGACATATACGCAGTTTTAGTCAGTCTTCCGCTAATTATATTTAATTAGACGGTATACCGGCCGCTAGGAATATGACGCTAGATCGTCGGGCCGGAAAACCGGCTTTTCGGACATATATGCCTAATGTTGAAGCCGGTTTACCGGCCTGGCGGGCTCAAAGGGTTAATATTTTTAATTTGGCTGCCAAAATAAATTTAGAAATGTCCAAAAGAAACCAAAACATATCCTATGATGAGATCTCGTCCGCCATGTTTACTTTGATAACGGTGCGTGAAGTTGACGAATAAAAGAAGGACATAGAAGAGATTGATTTTTGTAACAAAGAAACATGTGATCATGGTGATAATTAGATGTCTGAAAGAGCTCGATGTGTATGTTGTGTGGGTATTGTAAATTGTGGATCTTTCGCGAAAATTGCTAGTTTAACAACATACTCATTATATGCAAGTATATTAAATATATCTTACATTTGATATTTACAGCTTAGAGATTTAAATGTTAGAGTCATGTTTTAGTATTTAAACAAAGATTGTGAACTAAATAAAGCTTATATCTAGAGCGTTTTGTTTTAATAGGGAAGAGACATCGAGGCCTTCACCTTGCATGCCAGACACGCGGAGTACCTGAAGCTCGCCTCGGACACATCCGGGGATTCAGGGATTTGTCTGGACGATTCCCCTGCCAAGTCTGCACTAACAGGTAGACGATCGATCGGTAATTAATTAGCGGCTGGCTCCCGCTGATAAACAATAGACAAGCGGCTTAAATGGGTGCTGTGTTTGGGGTCGAGATCGAAGTGGTGCCCTCTCTAGATCTAGTTTTGTGATCTCATGGCCATGTGGGCTGTTAACAATATATTCGTTCAACGTATATACAACTATGTCAAGTATACAGGGTTTCTGTCAGATATGTTTTCGGACGGAGGGTACACTTAAAACTTCCCGGAACGGGAAGAGGGGGGGGGGGGGGCTGGTACTTAAATTTTCCTGAGGAGTTAGATAAAAGCTATTTTCTATTTATTTTATTTCTGTCACACGGGGGTGGTGGACGTGCGCCAGGGGTAGTGCCCCCTCCATCTCTCGAATAAATGCCTGAAAAAAAATCTGCATAGACCTATATATTATGTATATGCATGTATTTGTCCCTTAGTAGTCTGGGCACCATCAAAGTTCTTTTGACCATTTGTGACTCAGTTCTTTCTGTCCCCTCTCTATCCTCTCTCTGTCCTCTCTCTGTCCCCTCTCTGTCCCCTCTCTGTCCTCTCTCTGTCCCCTATCTGTCCCCTCTATGTCCCCTCTCTGTCCTCTCTCTGTCCCCTCTCTGTCCCCTCTCTGTCCTCTCTCTGTCCTCTCTCTGTCCCCTCTCTGTCCCCTCTCTGTCCTCTCTCTGTCCCCTATCTGTCCCCTCTATGTCCCCTCTCTGTCCTCTCTCTGTCCCCTCTCTGTCCCCTCTCTGTCCTCTCTCTGTCCCCTCTCTGTCCTCTCTCTGTCCTCTCTCTGTCCTCTCTCTGCCCCCTCTCTGTCCCCTCTCTGTCCTCTCTCTGTCCCCTCTCTGTCCTCTCTCTGTCCTCTCTCTGTCCTCTCTCTGTCCTCTCTCTGCCCCCTCTCTGTCCCCTCTCTGTCCTCTCTCTGTCCCCTCTCTGTCCTCTCTCTGTCCTCTCTCTGTCCTCTCTCTGTCCCCTCTCTGTCCTCTCTCTGTCCTCTCTCTGTCCCCTCTCTGTCCTCTCTCAGTCCTCTCTCTGTCCTCTCTCTGTCCCCTCTCTGTCCCCTCTCTGTCCTCTCTCTGTCCCCTCTCTGTCCTCTCTCTGTCCTCTCTCTGCCCTCTCTGTCCTCTGCCATCAACAATGTTAGACTGAAAGTTAAACTTAAACCGAGTCATTATGTGATGTCATTATGTGATGTCATTATGTGATGTCATTATGTGATGCCATTATGTGATGTCATTATGTGATGTCATTATGTGATGTCATTACCTCACAGTTAACTCTACACGTACTGAGCTGATTAAACCCATTAATTAATGTAATGCTATCTTCTAACAGTTAACTTCACACCTTTTGAACTTTCTAGAACAAATTTGATGAAATTTGAAATATTTTCAGATCGAGAGGCTGGCAAAGAACGAGAGCACACAGACCCACAAACCCGGTCTTCTGGCAGACGTCAGCACCCCAGCAGACAACACGACCCTCGGGGTCACCTGACCGCCAGGCGACAGAAATACCTCAAGAGTCGAGAAAAGTCCTCGGACAAGGGCAGACAACACTCTATCGAGTTCGCCCATGAAGAGTTATCGTTCGTGCCTTTGTCCCGAATCTCTGAAGCCAGCGACCCTGCAGACGGTTGGTCTTCCACCGGAAGTGGCCAGGAGATGAACAGTCACGTGTCACTTGAAGGTCATCCTCCTGAATCAAGCCGAAGTACTGCTGACCTGTCTACCTCAAGTACGAATGACGTACTTCCGGTTGTAAAAACAAAAACGTCAAATTTAACGAGACCGTCTGAATTCGGGGAAAATGTGAACGTTGTTTTTCCGGAACTTTCTAACCAACGCGTGAATAGTGTCGTGCGCGGAAAACACAGAACACGGCGACAAGTATTCACCGGGTATGAAAACAACGATTCTACGTTAAGCTCCGATACTAGTGACGTCAGTACTGTAGAACGACGCCGAAAAAATGTCGTTCATTCAAACTCCTACACAGACGTCACGGAAGTCAACGAAGAAAAAGTTCGCAAGTCCAGCAGACGGAATAAAGTACATCCACTACAACGTAGTGGGTCGACCCATTCTTCGTGATGTGTGTTGCATGTTTGATATTATCGTCTGTTCAGGGGAGTGACTTGAGTTAAAACCTTTCGCTCCTTGTGGAACAGGAGCTCAACCATACCCGTCCATCTTCTCCGATCAGAGGCGTAGCGATGGGGGGGGGGGGGGGCAGGGGGGACACATGTCCCCGGGCGCCGACTTTAGGGGGCGCCAAATATAAAAATGGGTTGTAAAAATAAATTAAAATATCATTTTAGCTGCATTTTTGCAGTTTGGTGATTGAAATTGAAATTTTGCTCCCGAGGGGGGCGCCAAATTGAAAGTTTGTCCCCGGGCGCCGGGAAGGGTCGCTACGCCTCTGTGTCCGGTCCCCGGCTAAAAGTTTTGCAACCCCCCAAGACATCCCTGCTGTCTTCAGTTCTTCAAGAAGACTCCGCCTCCAGGTTTGTTTATGGTGCCCATTGGACTAGACAGTCTTGATACAAACAGGATGTTGGTGTCACCGTGACGGTTGTTGTTTTGTTGTCCTGCCCAGCTGCTTCAAATAAAACAAGTTAACTTTACCATGAAAACTATGCTTATGTAAACCCGGGCCCTCACCTTTGCACATACTTGTTATATTATTTATGTGATATTTTCATCACTTTTTAAAACGTTAATCACAATAATTTTTGGATTTCTGTCACTGTTTTTCAGGTGCGAATAAATTCAAACAAATAATTAACAAAAAACCTGATGTATACCATCTTGATAAGATGGCATTGTTTAATAAATCTAAAAAACCAAATAGCTTAGAGCATACATTATTTTATTGAGCTATTTACATTAACGAGTCTTGAAATAGGAACACGCCCATAGCCTCACACAGTCGTCCATGAGTAAAAGATAGAGAGAGAAAAAGAGAGTGAAAGAGAGAGAGACAGAGAGAGAAAGATGGAGAGAGAGAGAGACAGAGAGAGAAAGATAGAGGGAGAGAGAAAGAGAGAGAAAAAGAGAGAAAGAGAGAGTGACAGAGAGCGAGAAAGAAAGCACACATACACTACACAATCATGTGCAAGCACAACACTTTTGGATATAATTACTGCAAGAGCGAATAATCCCGTTCGGCCTAAACATGATTTAAACAACGTATTAATATTAAGTCTCTAATTGCTAAATTACTAACAAAAAGTTCATGACAGTTGATTTTTAAAATGTATTTTTTTCTGTTTTAATTTAATAATAAAATCAAATTAATAAAACTTCATGCTTTACTCGTTTGCGCTATTGTGTTGTAGAGCGTATGCTTGCAAGAGGGACAGACTTTTATTACACAATTTAATTCCCTCAGTCTACCATAAGACCCCTAACTCAGTAGGGTGGAGGAGAACAGACATGTTGTGGTCTCCTTAACTTACCTCTAATTTCAAGATCCAATCAACACTTAATTATCTAAAACCGGAACTATTTCCTTCAATAAGTGATGTTCTATGAAAGAAAAATATGAGAATATTTTAAAAATTTAAAAATTTGTTTAAATCCAAAAGTCCCGACTTTGAACCCCGTGCAGATGAAGCTCGATGGTCGGGGACAGCAATCTAAGAGAGACAACTCCAAAATCAAACATCTGCTACCTTGTGTTTGTTCTTGGGTGGACGAAGGCCGAAGTAGCAAATCAAGAAAAAAAACAGGCTGGTTGAAGTCAACGGGTCGTATGGTGGTTAACCTGTTGACATGCAATACTTACTTGTGTTAGAGGAAATCCCGTCCAACATTACTAATAAGAAATTTACCATTGTTTATTTTACTGACATGTTTTTGACACCGGGACATCACACCCCGCATCAAAGCGCACCACTGTGTTTTTGGTGCGGACTAGAGTGGTTGGTCGGGTAGGTGTTAGCTAACTACTACTTTAACTTAAGTATATAAGAAGGGTGCATAGTAGCTTTTAACAGCTTTATTTTAGCTGTATTATACAGCTTTATTTTAGTTATATAATACAGCTTTATGTTAGCTGTTTAATACAGCTTTTGACATCTTTAAATTAGCTATATAGATCTAGATCTAATACCAATTCAATACTGCTTTATGTTGTATAATGCTTCTTTTGACAGCTTTTTGCAAGCTGTATGATTGGAAAGAATAAAATTATTTGCAAACTCTAATGATGCCTCCATATTGCAGAATTTCATACCCGCTCCAATCACTTTCGCTTTCATTTGTGTAAGCTGTTGGAGTTGTGTGTGTAGCTCTCCACTGCTGAAGTTTGTGGAACTCTTCATTACAAGATGGAGGACGAGAGGACCCCGGCTAAACGCTATGCCTTCAACGTCCAGGACGTGAAAGTAAGATGACGTCATTGTGATAGACGCAGTGGTTCTCATACAAGCAAGACATTACCCCTACCCTATATCATTTGCCACCTGATCCTCCCCCCCCCCCCCATACACACAATCTTCGATACCCATATCAATTACCCCCTGTACAATAATAGCCTACCCAAAAAGAACTGCAGTAAGATATCACGTCTTTGTTATTACATATTGATCCATAACACAATAGTGATATGGATAAGGTTATGAATATGGTCACATATAGGATTTGGTTTGGGATAGAGATAGGGATATTATTAAGGGTAGGGAAGAGATGATGGGTGTTACGGATGGAATAAGCTTATTATGCACTTAAATCGGTTCCATGTTTCTCATTATATGGTTTGTGGTTGTATGTTTGTTTGTGGTTGTATGTTTGTTTGTGGTTGTATGTTTGTTTGTGGTTGTATGTTTGTTTGTGGTTGTCTGTTTGTTTGTGGTTGTATGTCTGTTTGTTGTAAAATGTTTGTTTGTGGTTGTATGTTTGTTTGTGTTTGTATGTTTGTGTTTGTATGTTTGTGGTTGTATGTTTGTGGTTGTTTGTTTGTTTGTGGTTGTATGTTTGTTTGTGGTTGTATGTTTGTGTTTGTATGTTTGTGGTTGTATGTTTGTTTGTGGTTGTATGTTTGTTTGTGGTTGTATGTTTGTTTGTGGTTGTATGTTTGTGGTTGTATGTTTGTGATTGTATGTTTGTGGTTGTATGTTTGTTTGTGGTTGTATGTTTGTTTGTGGTTGTATGTTTGTGGTTGTATGTTTGTTTGTGGTTGTATGTTTGTGGTTGTATGTTTGTTTGTGGTTGTATGTTTGTTTGTGGTTGTATGTTTGTGGTTGTATGTTTGTTTGTTTGTGGTTGTATGTTTGTGGTTGTATGTTTGTGGTTGTATGTTTGTGTTTGTATGTTTGTAACAGTAATTGGACGCTCTCACGTGACCACCCAGTCCAGGTTGTGACATTGAAGTGACAATCTAGCCTGTGTTGTGACTAACACGTGACAGTCCAGTTCTTGTTGTGACACTATCGTGACAGTCTAGTTCTTGTTTTTGACAACTATATCGTCGTACACTGTGTTGTGTGTCTGATGTGTTTTGACACACTGTGTTGTGACATGCTGTAATGTGTTTAGTGTGTTGTGCTACACTGTGTTGCTTGTCTAATGTATTGTGACACACTGTGTTGTTGGTCTAATGTGTTGTGACACACTGTGTTGTTGGTCTAGTGTGTTGTGCTACATTGTGTTGCTTGTCTAGTGTGTTGTGACACACCGTGTTTGTGGTCTAGTGTGTTGTGACACACTGTGTTGTTGGTCTAATGTGTTGTGACACACTGTGTTGTTGGTCTAGTGTGTTATGCTACATTGTGTTGCTTGTCTAGTGTGTTGTGACACACTGTGTTTGTGGTCTAGTGTGTTGTGACACACTGTGTTGTGACACACTGTGTTTTGACACACTGTGTTTTGACACACTGTGTTGTGACACACTGTGTTTGTGGTCTAGTGTGTTGTGACACACTGTGTTGTGACACACTGTGTTGTGACACACTGTGTTGTGACATACTGTGTTTTTAGTCTGGTGTGTTGTGACACACTGTGTTGTGACATACTGTGTTTTTGGTCTGGTGTGTTGTGACACACTGTGTTGTGACACACTGTGTTGTTTGTCTGGTGTGTTGTGACACACTGTGTTATTGGTGTAGTGTGTTGTGATACACTGTGTTGTGACACACTGTGTTGCTTGTCTGGTGTGCTGTGACACACTGTATTGTTGGTTTTGCGTGTTGTGACACACTGTGTTATTTGTCTGCTGTGCTGTGGCACACTGTGTTGCTTGTCTGGTGTGTTGTGTTGTGCTACACTGTGTTGTTTGTCTGGTGTGTTGTGACACAGTGTGTTATTGGTCTAGTGTGTTGTGACACACTGTGTTATGACACACTGTGTTGTTTGTCTGCTGTGCTGTGACACACTATGTTGTTTGTCTGCTGTGTTGTGACACACTGTGCTGTGACACACTGTGTTATGACACACTGTGTTGTTGGTCTGCTGTGCTGTGACACACTGTGTTGTTTGTCTGCTGTGTTGTGACACACTGTGCTGTGACACACTGTGTTATGACACACTGTGTTGTTTGTCTGCTGTGCTGTGACACACTGTGTTGTTTGTCTGCTGTGTTGCAGCACGCCGAGACGAAGCGGATGAACCACCCCACGGCCAAGATGTGCTCCCTCTCCCGCTGGCCCCACACTGCTGACCTGACCCCCAGGGAGATTTACGTCATGAGAGATTCGTACGCCGGGCCCAGGCGTAAAGAGACATGTGTAGGTCGTAGGTTAACTGTCATCCTTTTTTTGCTCTTTTCGCTCCCCCTACAAAGAAAACCTGGATACGCCTCTGGGCGTGAGTTACCCTTTCGGACCTGATGGTCATTAAGGCAGATGAAGTAGAGTTCGTATGTTGTCAGTGACCATGACATTTGAAAGGATGGTGTGTTCACTATTTGATCGGAGTTATGGAGCGAGTTGTGTGTAATATTTCACTTTTTTGTGTCATATAACATGTGCATGATCTATAAAGACTTTTGATTTATTCTACTGGAAAGAGAATACTAAAGATAAGCAGCCAAAATAAAAAATTTTAAACATGTGATAGTAAACAGAGTTTCTTCTAGGCATCTGGAAAGTCTACCGCGCCCCCCCCCCCCCCGAACGAGATGGAATTTATATAGTAAACATACACTTGTATTAGTGTCCGCTCCCCCGAAAAATGTTGACCGCTCCCCCCCCCCCCCCCCGGAAAATATCAAGTGCCACCCCCCCCCCCCCCCCTCCCCGGAGAAAAAAGTCTGGAAGAAACACTGATATTAAAGAAAATGATATTTAAATTAAACACTGGCACACAATGATATTTGAAAATTGAACACCAATGTCTAACTCTATGTATGTTTTCAATCAACGTCCTTGACCTCTATGACGTCACGTGCAGGTGGAGTACCGGTCCAACTACGACCGCATCAACCACCCCGTCTGCGGCTACGACCAGCGGATCCACAAAGATAACACGTTGCACGGCCGCACCGTCATGTGTTCGGCCAGGGACGAGGTAGGTCAAGGTCATTGGTTGGCACAGCTGATGGGGGGGGGGGGGATTAGTGACGTCTGATAATCGACTCATTTTCTAGTGAGTCACAATAATTAGGTGTCAATCAGGATATGCCTGTGTTAGACAGGTTGGATTAAATCTTCGTTCGGATTTTAAAAAACTAATCGAGCGGTGAACTACTTACTGCGTTAAAAAAAAAATTGTCAGATATTTTATGAACGACCAAAAATTTTATTAAAAAAAGAAGATTCGTTTTATTGTCTTTGCTATTTTTGGTGCATTTAACTTTTTAAATTTTTTATTAATTTTATTTTATTTCTCCATTTTTGCAGGAGAAACTACGCACAGTTCACATAGAAGAAAACATGATTTATGGAAGGCGGAGTGACCAGTTTTACGATTTTGCCAGCTTGATGTACCCTCGGACTTTTCTCTGTAAATCCAACTTTTTGAGAAGAAATGGTCTGCTTGGCATTCCACCGTATAAAGATATTTCCACCAGCCTTCCACCGCTGTAAAGATACCTCCACCAGCAATCCACCGCTATAAAGATACAAAGAATGTTTATCTGCATCTTTAGTTCATCTCGATCATGTATTTTGTACATGTAGTTCATGCGCCAAACTTTTTCTTCAACTGCAGTTTATATCATGGTCATTTATACGTAGGCTCTCACTGATTATCTTGTGTGGACTAAAGTTGGTTAAACGATTAATGACGTCACATTATCCTTACCGTTTCTTGCCCCCCCCCCCCCTTTCCTAACGCTATCGTCACAATCCCCCTCATCCTTCCTTCTAAAACAATCAGAGTTCTAACAATTAGCTTACATGTTTTTCGTTACTCTCGTCATGAAGAAAATAATTGTAAGATGCTGTCACGTTTTCAGTCCCTCCCTCACTCCCTCCCGTAGTACATTAGCTTATTATATAACTATGTATAAGTTATAACATAATGTAACATAAATGCATGTTACATGTGTATTTAAACCACAATATACCAACTCGCCATTGTTGTGGCGACCTGGTTTATAAAATCTTTGGTTGTCTGTCATCCCTAGCTACGTGTGGTTGGAGAGGGGTGGGGTGGTGAGGAGGGGGGGGGGTATCACGTGACACTGATATGTAACGTGAGTCACACAGAAGTACAATGTACATAACATTAAATATAATAACTCTATTTTCCTTGTGTTTCTCCATTTTATTTTCTTTGTTTATAAAGTTTAAATATGTGAGTACGTGTAACTCAAAGAATATGTCTTTTAGATCGTAAAACTTCTGGTAACAAAAAGTAAATTAAATAGAAATAAATAATACTGTTTTGTTCTAAACTTGTCTGCAATAAAAACATGCAGCAAATTAAAAAAAAAACCACCATCAATTACTTGGCAATTTTTCTAAAGGTAGACAATCTCATTAATTTAACAAAAAAGTAGTTTTGCAGTAGTCCACCTCTTTGAGTTATGTTCTTGTTATTGTTTTGGTGTTAATAAAAAGCCTATTTTTTGTAGGCTTATTGAATAATTGAATTCGTTTTATGAAAATCTGGAGTACATTAATTGTCAAGTCCAGATTACTAGCAGCTGGTACTGAGTGGTAGCATTGGGTAGCTGGTGTTGGGTAGCTGGTGTTGGGTAGCTGGTGTTGGGTAGCTGGTGTTGGGTAGCTGGTGTTGGGTAGCTGGTGTTGGGTAGCTGGTGTTATGTAGCTGGTGTTGGGTAGCTGTATTGGTAGCTGGTGTTGTGTAGCTGTATTGGTAGCTGATGTTGGGTAGCGGGTGTTGGGTAGCTGTATTGGTAGCTGGTGTTGTGTAGCTGTATTGGTAGCTGGTGTTGGGTAGCTGGTGTTGGGTAGCTGGTGTTGGGTAGCTGGTGTTGGGTAGCTGTATTGGTAGCTGGTGTTGGGTAGCTGTATTGTTAGCTGGTGTTGGGTAGCTGGTGTTGGGTAGCTGTATTGGTAGCTGGTGTTGGGTAGCTGGTGTTGGGTAGCTGGTGTTGGGTAGCTGTATTGGTAGCTGGTGTTGGGTAGCTGGTGTTGGGTAGCTGGTGTTGGGTAGCTGTATTGGGTAGTCGGTGTCAGAGGCGTAGCTAGGGGAGGGCGGGGAGGGCGGCCGCCCCGGGCGCCGACCATAGGGGGGCGCCAAAAGGGGTAGAAAAAATAAATTAAAAGCTCATTTTAAGCTTCAGTTTTGAATTATAAACAGTCAAAGTAAAGAAATTTAACGGCTGAGAGCCTTTGCATACTGATTAAACTGTTTTCTACCTTGATTGTGTAACTGTAAAACATATATCTTTAAGAAACAGTGACCGGAAAACCCGCTTTCCAGCTTTTGTAGATGGGGAGGGGGGGGGGGGCGCTTTTTCGAAGACTAAAATCGGAAAAATTCACACCGGATTAAGGAATAAATATCCGATATCACTCAGAAAAGAAACCCATTAAACTAAAGCGTATTTTACGATTGTGTATCATAATAAACCGGGAGTGATCTCCCCTAAACTTTCTCGAATATTCTTATATAAAATAACAGGGGATGGGAACTCGGGCTATAGACATGATTTTTAATCCATTTTAAATAGGCCTACTTAAAGTTTTAAAAATAGAATAAAATCTCGTAGACAGATTAATTGCACACCAAGTGAACGCCAAATAAAAACGCGTATAATAGTGCGCAATATTATTAGTACTTTAAAAATTTACATTAGTTTTTTGAGAAATCGGAAGTAGCGTAAATTACTACTTCCAGTCAACGGAAATTACTCAAAATTTAACAGAAGGTAGAGAATTAGATCTTTTACTTACATGTGAAATTTCATTTATCTATCTGAAATAGTACTCAAGTTATAGGCTTTTGAAAAATTCAAAGTAGGAAAAGTACTACTTCCGGTTATCGGAAATCGCTCAAAAGTTGATACGGATCTACGATTTTGATAAAATACTTATATATGAAATTTCATCAACCTAGCTGTAACGGTACTCAAGTTATCGTGTTTACACACGGACAGACAGACAGACACACACACACACAGACACACAGACATACGGACAAGATTGCAAAATTATGTTTTTCCGTATCAGTGAGGTGTAAAACGTCGAGATTTGTAAAAATCTCAATTTTTTTTTTTTTTGCACGATTACAAGACTTTCTCTATACTTCGTAGGCCTATATACGAGAGAGTAAAAATGAGTTAGTGACGTTTAAAATCCGCTCTACCATTTTTTGTCCAAGATGTCGGGGCGCTTTTTCACTAACAAAAACCGCAGGATTTGTACTGGATCGGTTGCTAGATAACTTTTTTAACACTTAGAAAAGAAATCAATTGTATTAACACTTAATGTACGATTTCACTACCCAGTTTTGCTAAGTAATAACGCGACTAGTTCTTTGTACGATTCTTACGATTCTCTCAACTTGATCGTGAGAGATCAGATACTTTTACTTGATTACATTACATCTTGCCTGGATCACTGAATTAAAGAGAAATAAATATCACGGATTCTTGTATCGCTATCCGATCAGTAAAATAGACTGTCGGAGCGGGAGGATGGGAAGCAACACTTTTTGCCAAAATTTTAAGAGAGAAGAAAATTAGTATATTGTACTGATTATTACTTTGTTCAACCTAACTGATAATTCACAATGGCAATGTTGGCCTACTATTATCGAAATTGTTCTAAAGACACGACCAAAAGTAGAACAAATAAGGTTTGCACCTTCTACAAAATACACTCTAAATAGTTTCATATGCGCAATCACCGGACCCTCCTTAATAGTTGTAACTTTTACCCAGTTACATTTTTACCCTGGGACAAACTTTCGATTTGCACCCCCACCCCCCCCCCTCAAACTTTCGATTTGCACCCCCCCCCCTTATACTTTTTATATTTATACCGAGGGGTCTATGGGGTGGGGACGGTGTTATGACCCCCCTAACCCCCACCAATGCCTACGCCACTGGTCTTAACCCTGAGACTGAATTACCGAACCTCTCGGGTTCGATCGAGCCCACTGTTCTAAGCCCTTTTGATTTTCTACTTTTTATTCGTTTCGGCATCTTAAGGTGAATTTAATTGGCGCCCAGTGAAGTTTTATGGAACGACAATCAGCGTAATTGTTAATTTTTTTCCAGACTGTCGCACACACAAAAACACACACGCATATATATATACATATATATATATATATATATATATATATATATATATATATATATATATATATATATATATATATATATATATATATATATATATATGGGGGGCGCCAAACCGAAAGTTCGCCCCGGGCGCCGGGAGGGGTCGCTACGCCTCTGGTCGGTGTTGGATAGCTGGTGTTGGGTAGCTGTATTGGTAGCTGGTGTTGGGTAGCTGTATTGGTAGCTGTATTGGTAGCTGGTGTTGGGTAGCTGGTGTTGGGTAGCTGTATTGGTAGCTGGTGCTGACAGCTGTGTATTGGTAGCTTGTGTTATGTAGCTGTATTTATAGCTGGTGTTGGGTAGCTGTATTGGTAGCTGCTGTTGGGTAGCTGTATTTATAGCTGGTGTTGGGTAGCTGGTGTTGGGTAGCTGTATTGTTAGCTGGTGTTGGGTAGCTGGTGTTGGGTAGCTGTATTGGTAGGTGGTGTTGGGTAGCTGTATTGGTAGCTGTATTGTTAGCTGGTGTTGGGTAGCTGGTGTTGGGTAGCTGTATTGGTAGCTGGTGTTGGGTAGCTGGTGTTGGGTAGCTGGTGTTGGGTAGCTGGTGTTGGGTAGCTGGTGTTGGGTAGCTGGTGTTGGGTAGCTGTATTGGTAGCTGGTGTTGGGTAGCTGGTGTTGGGTAGCTGGTGTTGGGTAGCTGGTGTTGGGTAGCTGGTGTTGGGTAGCTGGTGTTGGGTAGCTGGTGTTGGGTAGCTGGTGTTATGTAGCTGGTGTTATGTAGCTGGTGTTGGGTAGCTGTATTGGTAGCTGTATTGGTAGCTGGTGTTGGGTAGCTGTATTGGTAGCTGGTGTTGGGTAGCTGGTGTTGGGTAGCTGGTGTTGGGTAGCTGTATTTATAGCTGGTGTTGGGTAGCTGTATTGGTAGCTTGTGTTATGTAGCTGGTGTTGGGTAGCTGTATTGGTAGCTGGTGTTGGGTAGCTGGTGTTGGGTAGCTGGTGTTGGGTAGCTGTATTGGGTAGTCGGTGTTGGATAGCTGGTGTTGGGTAGCTGTATTGGTAGCTGGTGTTGGGTAGCTGTATTGGTAGCTGTATTGGTAGCTGGTGTTGGGTAGCTGGTGTTGGGTAGCTGTATTGGTAGCTGGTGCTGACAGCTGTGTATTGGTAGCTTGTGTTATGTAGCTGTATTTATAGCTGGTGTTGGGTAGCTGTATTGGTAGCTGCTGTTGGGTAGCTGTATTTATAGCTGGTGTTGGGTAGCTGTATTGGTAGCTGGTGTTGGGTAGCTGGTGTTGGGTAGCTGTATTGGTAGGTGGTGTTGGGTAGCTGTATTGGTAGCTGTATTGTTAGCTGGTGTTGGGTAGCTGGTGTTGGGTAGCTGTATTGGTAGCTGGTGTTGGGTAGCTGGTGTTGGGTAGCTGGTGTTGGGTAGCTGGTGTTGGGTAGCTGGTGTTGGGTAGCTGGTGTTGGGTAGCTGGTGTTGGGTAGCTGGTGTTGGGTAGCTGGTGTTGGGTAGCTGGTGTTGGGTAGCTGGTGTTGGGTAGCTGGTGTTATGTAGCTGGTGTTGGGTAGCTGTATTGGTAGCTGGTGTTGTGTAGCTGGTGTTGGGTAGTTG